AGGTTTTGGGTATTAATACAGTGGGACAAACGTCCCTCTCTCAGTTTCCAACGTCCCGCATGGAAACTATAAATAAATATCACAACCAGAAATAATTATTGATCCCCATGGGGGAAATTTGGGTTGCATTTGCTCCCATTCTAGAATAGAAATATATACCATAAAGGAATTATAAGAAGATATAAATTACTAGGTAGAACATATGTGCATTATACTACAATGTAACGACAGTACATATAAAAAATATGAATAACAAATATGTCAATGATGTATAACACAATACAACAGCAGTGCAAATAATGATACAAACAAATTGAATCTATGATTAGGTGTAAATAAATAAGAATACTAGTTTAAATGTACAGTATAAATAAATGCAGTGTTAATTGCAGAGTAAACCAGTGTTGAGAAAGTTGATTTATTGCACTGAATTAATTAGTGTTCTGTTTAGTCAGTGTTGCACAGCTGAATATATAAATGATGGCGTTATAGCTGCTGATTGGGGTAAGCAATAATACATATATGCTGTATACATGTGTTGTATATAAATATACAACAATTAACAATCAAATGAACACATCTACCATTTTATAGACCAGACAAGGGTATATTTAATCCTAAATACAACGTAACTTTTAAGTAGATAACTTCTATATGACAACATTAAATGTCTATCTTAGTTTGAGCCGTTTACAAGTAAATGTTTGTCCTTGCAGTCATCGAACCGTTTGTACAGAGCGTCTTCCATGATGAACACAAAGCACCGTTGCACATGGTCAGTAATGGCAGCTGGTTAAGTCAGTATCAATGTAGACTCGTTAGAGGGTTTTCTAACCCACTTCCACTCCCTGCTAATTGGTTACAATGGCAACCCTCTACTCGAACACCCAAAGGTGTGGAAGTAGGAGAGGGTGTGGGCTGGATTGGAATTTAGCATCTGTGTTTTCCCTCCTCTATCCTTACCCCCTGATTTCCACTGCATTAGGTCAATATCATCCAGGGACTAAATAATCTCACTTTCTTGGCACAGCGTATTTTGAAGTTCCTGAACTTGATGCCGTAATTACAGATGCAATTAGGTCATTTGTCTTTCTTCAACCAAATGTGTTTCCTATTTAAGGAGAATATTAGAGACTGATCCAATTGTTTACAAGAGGAATGTAAATAACGTAAGCAGCACCATTGTGTCCAACATGATCCAACTGGGAACAATCAAGCCAATCTTGGCGCTTACATCTTAACAGTCATACACAGGGAGGGAGTTTGAGACTCAATTTAATTGACTCAAACATGAGAATACCACATAAAACCCTAGGAGTTTTCAGCCTGGCACATGCTAAATGATATGAATATGTTGTAATGTTTGCTAGGAAGCAAGTGTTAATGTCTAACAAGACCCTAATCTTCTAGATTTTACTGTAGCTTGTTATATTACACATCAAGCATTTAGGACCTGATAACAGAGTCCTATTGTTGTGTAATAATAATTTGAGACATAATAAATATGCTCCAAGAAAAGGAAAAATCCCAAGAAAATTATACTTGTAAGTAGTAGTTGTGCACCTACTTTAGGGTGAAATAAATAATCCTTCTCTTAGTGTCTATTTTTTTAGTTTATTGGGGCATTTCCTGCCTTTATTTGATAGTGACAGGAAATGTGGGAAAAGAGACTAGTGGAATAACATGCAGCAAACGGCCCGGCCAGTTATGGATCAACTTGGGATTCGTTTCTCAGGGCGTTTGAGCCCATGTGATATGTGCCCTAACCACTTAGGCCTATCTGTCTGCATTTTTATTGTTTCTGTCTCATTGTTTCTGATACTGAGCCAAGAACAGAGTGCAGGTGCCGATGACTCGCCTTGAATGAAAATTAAATTAATGGAAAGCAGGTGGGTACATCAAAGGCTGACTGCTCCAACGATATGACCAAATATGCTCTCAACCGCCAACCTCAGCTGTTGTCTCTGCCATGGTGAAGTGGAAGTGAGGATTGTGAATGGAAGTAATTAGTTGATATTAGAGACAGTGTGGAGTAAACTGGATGAAAGAGAAGGGATCTGATGTGTTCCCCTGAAGTCAACAGTTATTACAGGTTCAAACTACAGATACAGTTTGTATTGTTACACTTACTGCTTTCACTGCACTAATAAACTCATTTTAGTGCGGCCGTGTTTAAATAATCCAACTGACCTATTTTAACACTTACATTAAATAAATGCTTCTTAACAGCAACGGCACTTTTAGATTTAATAATGAAAAGAATCCCCTCCCATGACCCACAACATTCTTTACGAAATAGCCGGAAATGTTCCACAGAAAATGCAGCAGCAGCAATCTTTTAATGTTTTTCCAGCAGATTACAGATGGGAAGGAAAGCTGTAGGACAACTAAATGCTGAATGCGTTTAATTCCTAACCAACTTCAGGAAGTGGTTTATCATCATGTCTGACATTGAATACACAAACTTCACAGAATTCTTCGTTTTTTACCAACAAGTTTGCTGAACCGTAGCTGCATTGTTCCATTCTAAATCCTGAAACACAAATGCAGGATGGGGATTTGGTATGTGTAGGATAGGAGCTGTTCTACACAGGCAGTGAGTCTAACTTTTGCTTTTTTCTGTATGTTCTTCATCTATCTTTCATTTTGTATATCAGACAATTTCCTCTTGGAATAAGGAAGGATCAAAAAAGTACATTGCAAAGTGCAACTCTTGCAACATCTGACAGCTGCAAAGTTGAAAGATTTTAATATAAGAAAGATATATTTTCCCTAATTATGAGATCTCTTCTCTTTATTTGAACTTGTGTTGTCAGCTGTCAACATTTGCATGAAATCTGCACTGCTCCAAACACGTTTCCATGGAGAACAGGCATCTCTTTTGACAGAAAAAAAAAGACATGTGGTATCTGGCCTGATTAAAAAAGACGTATCAGTTAAAAACCATTGTCAGTTTAATCACAAGACTATGATTGGTCCGTGATTTAGGCAATACTGCTTGAGTTTCCTTATAGGACACAGAATCAGGACATAGTTTGTTTTGATACATATTGTATTAGTTTGTTATTTTATTATATCATCGTCCCTAATTCTTAGTTCAATAGAATTCTGAACTAAAAACACTGATAAGTTTGTTGTCACATATGAGAACTTCCATCAACTGTCTTGACTCAGAGGATGAATGTAGTTCCAAGTATATAATAGCATCTCTATAGCTCTGACTCTGTGCAGCTAAAGGTGGCTCTCAGCAGGATGCCAACTCCCTGGGCTTTCCTCCTGTGCTGCATAGTCACTCAGATCAATGCCTTCTTTCACAGAACTTCACAGAGTACATGGTGTTTCCAGCAGACAGGAGACGCACACAGCAGTGACACAAAAACAACAAACCTTGCCTCACGACTTAGACTAATCTCTGTGGAATGTTTCAGTGAAAGGATTTCAAGGCTCTCTGTTGGTCTGCCTCTTAAAAGAAGCAATTTCTATCTTTTGAGGAAAATCCCCTGGGATCAATCTGTGATTAAGTAAAACACAAAAAACTGAAGCTTAATATAGCTTAAAAAAAAAGCCGAAAGGGGATGTATTACTAATGCAGGAGTGAGAGGTGAAAACAAGACTGATCCAAAAGATAACAAGAATCCTGTCTTTAAAAAGCACTGAGCAAAGTGGGACAGTATAAGCCCAGAAGAATCTGACACTGTCCTCTCTTAAGGAATTTCTCCATTTTGTGTCACTTTCAAGCAAAATCCTCTCTTAGGGTATCACAGCAAAAAGATCTACACACACTGGCATGGGGCTAGTAAAAACAATAAGAAGATACTTCACCTGTCAATGGCAATAGAATATATGCTAGTGGTGATGTTGGTCAAATCTGAATATAGATCACAAGCATAAAAATTGTAAAAAAAATGTTGACCTCTCAGATATTCTTATTCTTACTTTTTACGATCAAAGTTGTGTCTCGTATTTTGTCCATGCAATCCAATGCCAAGGAAAATACCTTGCAAACTGCTGACTTTGATAACGGAGGGGAAATCAGATTCTCTCTGCGTGCGCTCACTCTATCAAGGCAAGCAGTAAACAAGCGGTTTTAAATCTGACATGAAAGTGTTTATTAATGACTTGTCTCTCAGAACATTTGTGTAAATGAGGGTCTCAGAGTGCAACAGTGCTTTGATAGTATTCACAGACAACAGCACACACAGTGTTGTCTTGCTGCGGAGCTCTGCATGTATGCATGTCTTTTGTGCATTGAGCGTACTAGCAGCAAGGGGAATGAGAGGTGTTGATGTGTGTGTGTGTGTGTGTGTGTGTGTGTGTGTGTGTGTGTGTGTGTTTGTTTGTTGGGAGGAGGGTTCCCTACCATCCTAATTGACCTTACTTTGATATTTTTAGGGTGGAGGATACAGACCACATGTCGTAACATACCCAACAAATACATATTGACCAATTGTGTTGTACATACAAGACAAATTTTTTCGTATAAAGTCACATTACCGGACAGTATATCCTTATTAACTGCTCATTGTTTGTGCTAATGTTGCCTTACCGTACATCAACATCGCATTATGAAATGTTTTACTGTAGGATCAAGTTCAAAATAACCTGCTGTTTAATGTTTGATCGGCATCAGTGAGTGTCCCTGTTACCAGTAATCTCCTATCTGCACATGCTATTGCATTTATTCAAGGTTTAAAGGCAAAGCTAAAACATAACAAGCCTTTGAAACACCTTTACAAAAAATCAAGGTCATGTTCTGAGTATCTGTGCTTGTACTGCACAAGATCAGAGTAGAAAGCACAACCCTTGAAAATGAGGTGTATTATATGTCTGAATGCCTTTGCAGATGGTAATGTTGACTGTGGAAGCCTCATGGAGCCCTGGCTGCTGCAGGCCATGAAACATCACTAGCACTAGGGCCATGTGGGACCTCTCCTTAAAAAAAGTTTGAGATTTTTTCACAGCCCATTGTAAGCAATCAGGCAAATAGAAGCTTGCAGCCGTGCAGTGCACAGACAATTCTTTCCAGAAGGCAGAAAGCAATGCTCAGTCTACTGACAAGCAAGCCAACCGACCCACAAGAACGCAGGACATATTCTCACAGCAACAGACGGTAACACCACCAGTGGGTCTTCTGAAGCCAACTTTCACTCTCCTGGGTGTGATTGCTACTTAATGCACATTCATTCTCCTCTACTGCTGGCAGTGAAGACCTGCAGATGCACTCAACCACAGGCTTACTTTTCAACCCCGCGTCTGTCTCAACACTCTCACCAAAGCTGTAACTGCGGGAAGATCATACACATGTTTTGTTGACAGAGAGCGACAGGTGGTTTGAGTTTGAGCTGCTGGTGGACTGGAGTTTTTTTTTACCGTGTGGTGAGCTGTGGCGTCTTTGGAGCCAGTATGTTGTCTATTGTTGTGGCATGTTTGGTATTCGTCCTGCTGGGCTCAGGGCAGGCTCAGGTTGCCACACAGACTCAGGAGCAGAGCCAGAGTCGGGGCCAGGGGCAGGACAGCTCTGCCACCCCTTGGAGGCAGGTGATACAATGGGAGAACAATGGCCGGCTGTTTAGCCTGCTGAATAGTGGAGCTGAATATGTCCCTGCTGGGGCAGGGGCCCAGGACAGAGGTCCCAGGGTAGTTGTGGCAGACACTCGTGCACGTTCTTCGCATAGACCACAGGGAGGCAATGTTCGCCGACAGGCTCCACCAAGAGGATCCTCTGAAACTGTCCGCGGGCAGGCAAGGCATCCTTTTGGATTTGGGCAAGTGCCTGATAACTGGAGACAAACTGCAGGCAGCACAGGGGGTAGTCAGTTCCAAGGATCCTCTAGCACTCGCCTTAGGCCATCCACAGGATCTTCATCATCATCGTCATCATCCTTTTCTTCATCCTCTTATAATATACCATCCTACCAACAGAACCCTTTTCCTCAACAGCCTCCCTTACAAGCAATACCTTACAACCCTAGTTTTGGAGCAGAGCCAGTCAGGAGCTATGAGCCACCTTTTCAGCCTGTTGCTGGTGGAGGATATGGCGGTGGGGTATATGGTGGTGGAGGATATGGTGGTGGAGGGTATGGTGCTGGACAGGGGTATACTGGTGGAGTGTATGGAGATCTGGCCCCAGTGCTCCCAGGTTCTCCCACTGATTTTAGTGACGATAGCTACCGTTACTACCAGTCTTATGGCTATGGGCCCAATCCTGTGGAGCCTGCACGTGCTGCCCAACCACCATTTGCAGATGGTCTGGACCACAGATACACTCACAGTATCTTCAACAGGCAGACTGCTCCTGCTGTCCCTGCTGTCTCTGCCCCTGATGCCAACCAGGCAGCTCCCATATTAGTGGACAGGACAGGACCAGCTGGTCAACCACAAGTCAGGAGCCCTCAGTATGAGCAGTTTCCTCCATTTGGAAGACCCCAGCCTTCTTTCCTGCAGCCCGTTCCTCCAGGCAGAAATCCTCCAAACTCTGGCATCGAGAACCCCAGCGTGAATGTCGGGAGTGTGTACAGAGCAGAACAGACAGGTACGGTAAGCTTTTTGGTTTGGGTTTTTTGAGCTAGCACAATGTATCCTTTATTTCAAATCTTGATAATATTAGGCGAGGCACATGGGTGGGAAGTCTGATTTAGAGCCAATTCCAAGGCACTTAAAATATTTCACATTTATAGTAGAAACAAGGAACATATTCACTTGTGAGCATTCACCCTAAAGGTATTTCTGTCTTTGATTTGATTTCTGTAGTTGCTGGACACATGTATTAGAAATTTGTAAAACCTAGGGGAGTGGAGAGCTCACCACCCCCTCAAGCATACAGTCATGTTTTTACAATTTTCTTCTTTCATGTTTGTCAGATATCTGGAGTAATCAGAATAAAATCTCCACTCAAAGGTCAGCCTGTTTTTCAGTTTACAAACAAAGTAAAGTGGACACAGGGTTCATCTTTTCCCACTTGTATGGTTATTGAAACCAGGTGTTGCGCAAACCCTGCCAATGTACAGAGAGCACACAAGAACCACTGTGTTTTTTGTGTGGGGAGGTCTGTGCAACACAAAAGTAGACTGGTTCACGCGGTGTGTGGGATAGCGTAATGGTAGTGGTGACCTCATAGGGGTTCTGGTGACAGGGGGTGTTGATGGGTCATGTCTGCCTCCTGGGCTTGAGGGACAGGAGAGGGGAAGCAAGGGAGGGGGATACAGTAATTCACCACTCCCTGAGGGGGAGGGAGAGCATGGAAAGTCCCTGTTACACATGGGGTCCATTGCTTCAGCTACAGTAAATCCAAAAAATATTTAGTTAGAGTTCTTGGGGGAAGAGTGAGTGTTAATACGTGCAATACCTTGGCTTAAATAATATATTTTCATAAAGTGCTGTTCAGGAAGAAGTGAGCTTATTGTTACTGGTGGAGGGAAACATGACTTAACTAAATGCAAACAACATGTGAAGATTTTCTATGCTCTGACCACCAGAGGCTGTGTCTGGTCTGAGCTGACAGGAGATGAGGATCTCCAATGAGATTCTCAGACTCTTAATAATGCAGATTTACTTTTTTGTGTTACTCAATGATCTGCCTAACTGTGCGGCAGTCTCTCTAGTGTACTGTCTGTGTTGCAACCATCATTCATTAGCCACATAGTGCTGCGAGCCATTTCTACAGCACAAAAAGCCAACATGTGTGCAGATACCCGAGTGCTCCCAGTAATTACTGTGATAAAGATTCCACCATTGGGAACTGTTGGAAAGCTGACATTTTCATAGCACTGCTTCATGGGACATCATTAAGCTGAGTACCATAATAACTATTGCGATCTACAAGTTTTAGATCTACTTAAAACTTTAGTCAACAGACAAGCATATTTATTAAGCATATTAATGCCATTTCAAATGGCAATGTTGTGTCCTGTTAGAGGCAGTAAAGTACATAAGGTACACTGCTATATATCATAATAAACATATGTTTCTATGACCATGATGCTGGTAAAATAAGATAGATACATTTTTAAAACAACAAAACCCAAATAGGTTTAGGGTAGGTTTAGCATTGGTGCACTAACCAGAACCCACTTTCCAGTCATTGCCTTTAACTGTCAAATGGTTGGACATACAAGTTGTTTCCAGAATCACATATAATGAATAGGGCTTGACCTACAGCCAACCCTACAGAGGGCATAAAGAGAGCAAGAACATTACACAGCACAATGTACGTACTCTATGTTCAAAGTGTTCAAAACTTGTAATTTTGCCATATGTGCAAAATTGGACCAACTGATCAAGTTTGTGAATGTCTTTTCTCAATACACATTGGCTTTCACATCAGTCATCAAGGCCCTTTTGTTGAAAAAGAACTGAACTCGAGTTTGTAATGGGGCAATGACTTTAAGCCATCTCCACTTGACATGAGGCAGCCAACACCAGTTCTAATACCAAGGTTAAAGAAATAGATGGTGTGCTCCTGAAGCTCAGCCATTATCCATTGTCTTTTTGTCCCCCTGAGAGATCCCTGCATTGTGTTATCTGACAAAGAACAGACTCTGATCAACGATGAGTTCAATTTGAGAACACATTCAGATGAATCAGATCTATTCACATGTGTAGTTTTTTCTGTTAGTAGTACTCTTGCCCATTTGCTGAATTGGATTGTGCACTCTTTTGAGTGTAGATTTGAAAGCTGCAATGTTGCAGTGATTTTGTAATTAAGTATAATGGCAAAGATCAGTTAAAAAAGTTTGCATATTGACCACATATTCATTTCAACTCACCCTTACTTGCTCTCATATTTTGTGACAAAGCCACAAGCAGTCGTACGTTAGATTAATTAGACTGTAAGATTATTCATTAAGGCAGCTGAAAGGCAGAGCTGCAGTTATTTTAATCATTATCTTAAACATCATATCTTTAAGAAAAACGATTGTATCATCTCACTATTACTAAAATTAATCTGCAATATATCTACTGACCAAATGTAAAATGGTTGATAATCATGAAAAAAGATAGGATGTACATTGTATTAACAATAGGAGTAAAACAAACTACCTAGCAAACGAAGCTGTGATATACTTTATACTTAATCATCCAACGCTATTGTGATTTTTCATTTTTAAATGACCTCAATGAATTTCGAGTATTCTGATCCATCAGTCCCCTGCAGCTAACAGCCAGGCGCTTAAAGCAGGAGCATCTAGAGATGGAGCCCTCATGTATTTTATTACGTTATATTAGATGGTATAAAATGCATGGCAAGACTCAGTTTCTTTTATCCGTGCCCCACTTAGAGTGTATTGTGTGGCTTTGTCACATGCTGTCAAAAGCTGATCAGCTCTGGCTTCTCAATACACTTGATCCCCCTGAAAGACACCCAACTTCACATTTCAAAAGATTAGGAGGCAGAGAACAAAGCCTTTCTAGGGTGAGGGGGAAAAACATAGCTTGAGAGTGCTGCTGGGAAAACTCTGCATTCACACTGGTCTTACAGTGTTTACATCATGGTGTGCCCCAGGAGGCTTCTCCTGTTCTTTACGTCTGCCTCGGAGAGAAATGTCATATAGGATGTTTACACAATGCTCGCAAAGGCAAAGCCCTTATTTCCACTTGGAGCTGAGAGGGAGGACTTACCAGGATGTTAAACTGGCCAAATGTAAAATCTAAAACTTCCAGTCTGGTTTCCATTAACCGATTGTCGCTAAAGCCCTTTGTGTTAATCTAAAAATCAAAAGACAGTGTGTTTTCCATTATCTATTTTCTTTTCCATGGTTTAAGATGGCAGCAACAAAAATTCTAGTTGCACATAATTTGTTGTGATTTTATTAACACTTCTAGGCTGAAAGGTCGGATGGTTTGACCTTCAGCTGCTTGTACAAGCTCACATTAAAGCGTGTCTGGCCTTTGTATGCTAAACAGAGAGGGGTGATAAGTTGCGCCAGAGACCCTTGCTGGCATGGCCTTTACTGGGAAGGGGACAGACAGACATTCACTCTGACAAGTAAGGCCTGCTTTTTTTACTTGTTCCTCAGGTTTTCTGACGGACTTGGTCAGTCGCCCACTTTCAAAACAGCAGCGGTGTGAGATCACTGTTGTTTTTGCCCTGGCACGCACGTTCTCCCTCTCTGTGTCTCTGTCTGGCTCTCTTGCTGTATCTCTGTGCGCCTGTTTCCTTCCCTCATCTCTTCATCACTGTCACTTGTTTGCAGAATCCAAAGTACAACAAAAACACCGGGTGCATTACAACAAGCTCTCCTGTGATACTGCAGCTCGGATACTTACAAGTTCAGCCCCAAACAGATATGTCTTTACTATACTAAAGGTTTAGTTAAAGTGACACGTTCGTGTTAAGATCAGTGCACATGGAAGATCACATGACATTAGCCAAGAAATTATTGGTATAAAAAAGGTTCCCTTTGTGCAGCTCTTATGCTTAAAACTCAAACTCACCCTGTCTGACTGGCTTACAGAGCAAAAGTGTCTCACTGGAAAACCATGATAATAATCTGGAATTTACAGTAATTAGTGTTCAAAAGCTCTTTTAAGAGTGACCCAGTCTTGAACTGTGGGCCCATCGTATCCACCGATCAGCACCACCATAAATACCAGGTAATAAAAAGTTGATGACAAATATGTGAATGAGTTTTCTGTTTCTGGGGTGCTTCGCTGGCCGTGACGGTAAGGGCTGGAATTCAAAGAGTTCAAAAGGTGACCTGTTACAGACATTGAATCATTGAATCACTAAGTAAAAACACAGTGAAATAGCAATGTTATATGTGTAGTTGGTCAGCTTTAACTACAGTGTATAACATTGTTTAAATATGGCATACACTATCATGTTAGAGTCTAAAAAGTCCCTTTGACTAATACAATAAGTAATTGCTCTTTTGTTTTCAGTATTTGGAGCAGATTTATACGATTTCATATTTTTTCTGTGAGCAAATTACTTCCACTTGTTGAAGCAAGGTTGTATCTTATTTATAGTGGCTGAATTACAATGTAGGTTGAGCATTCTGTCTATCATTTTAGGTTTGCCTGACCTGGTTCCTGATGCCAACTATGTCCAGGCTTCCACATATATCCAGAGAGCCCACATGTACTCTCTCCGCTGTGCTGCTGAAGAAAAATGTCTTTCAAGGTAAGCCCAATTCTGGATGTACTTTGCTGGCTTAGGTTTATTAATTTATTTATATATTTTATTCTCACTGTATCAGACTTTTTGTTGTCCCTATGGGTTCTGTTTTCATGTTCATGTTATCATGTTCTGGACAAATGTTCTCATTTTAAAGGTTTCTACAATATTTTCAGGGTAGCTCAGTGGTTAGCACACCCGAAAAACATTCAATTGAAGAAACAATGAATTATTTCTCTTCTCAATGTAGCCCTCTGATGTCCTGTCCAGTATGAAATAATGTTCTTTATAAGCTGCTTCACCTTTGGGCAACATTAACCAGAGAGTGAACCATCCAGAAGCCTAAGGTAGCCTTCAGGATCATACTAGTTCTGTGAAATCCTGATCAACTTCTGGGATAGAGACTGTTGTTAGTTTAATTTCTCTGTGTGGATAGCATCCCCTGAGCCCCGGGCCTGGGCCCTTTGACTGCCTCTGTACTAAAGACACCATTGAAATGATGGAAGTGTGCTGTCCCCATGGCTGTTCTATTTGCCCTCTTCCCATCATAAGCACAGCCATCCCTCAAAGCCCTTTCATATCCTGTCTGAGTTTGCAGCAATCACCGACAGATGGGCTGTTGTAATTTGCCATACACTCCAATGTCAACAACAGCCACAAGATGAATGGCTTAGATCTTCCGTGGCATTGTGAACTCGGGGTTGTTCCTCCTTTTTCACACAAAAAAAGTGAACCGTGCAATGGCATGTTCCCTCTCCCCGTGTGGAAATTGTGTATTTGGAGAGATGGTTGTAATCTCTAGAATGAATTATTTAGTAGATATGCTCCTGCCTCCAAGCCTTTCCGGTCCTGCTCTTTTTTTGTTTCCTTGTCTAAGTTATAAGAAACAGACTTGCGGACATTCTTTTTGCAGCCAGTTGTACAGTTTTCCTCAATGTTTTTGGTCCTGATATATGTGTCCACCATTCAGCTCTGCCTATGGCCCTGAGACCACAGATTACGATGTAAGGGTCCTGCTGCGATTTCCTCAGAGGGTGAAGAACAAGGGGACTGCCGACTTCATGCCCAACAGGCCACGTCAAACCTGGGAGTGGCATAGCTGTCACCAGTAAGTACTTAATACAAAACAGATTTCACCCAATCAGATAATAATGCTTTACTTGCTATGTTATTATGTGTTGTAGCAACCAGGGACATAGCTGGCAGGCATCTTTATCTGATTTTATTCTAACAGACTGTAATAATTTATGTAACTAATATCTATAAACATAGGCTGGTGTATGTTGATCACCTTACGCATAACAACATTACTGCAATTTTACAAAATAGACAGATCTAGTTGGTAGTTCTGATAGTAAGATTCTAAAAGTTGTAAACTTCCTGATCTACAAGAATTTGTGATTGCTAATATTTAATGAAAAATGAATAATTCCAAGGTGCTATATTCTATATTCAGGGCATTAATATAGCAGCAAACATCTATTTGCTATTTAAAGATATTGTGGATCAAAGTCTGAGCAGAAAATGAAATCTGGTGTGAAGGCCAGGCCGGCCGTGGATGCTTTTAGTGCATGTACAGTATGTGCCTGTGAGTTTTCCCCGCTGTCTAGCTCATGGCTGCCGATCTGCATTGCGCTCATGCGGCAGTTACAGCTGATAACACCGTCTCTAGACCGATGCTCCTTCTGTGATTCTCAGGTTAACACCAGGTTAGCTCTGCCAGCACTTTTGTCAATGTTTGCATTGTTAAGCTTTGTTTATACCTCGACAGGTGACTAGAGCTAGGAGCACGCACAAAGGCGCTTATGCTCAACACCAAAACTCAACACAAAGTCAAGTCAACTCAATTTTATTTATATCACAAATCTGCCTCAAGGGGTCTTAAAACCCTCTGTCCTTGAACCCTCGCTTATTGGGTGTCACAGTGCCCCATAAGATCCACAGTGTGCCATACGGTCATACTGCAAGAAAAGACGAGACTTCCCCTGGTTGGCTGAGAAAGTAGTTTCCTGGTCTAAAGAGGAGATTGGGGTTCCAAACCTATAGTATGGACTCCATTAGAAGTACAACAGGACAAAATACAATACTAGTTTTGTGGGTTTGATCACTTTAGAAAGCACATTTCTCACTGTGTCTTTCTCAGTGGACGGATTGTAGTTGATTTAGCAAGCCAGTTGTGGGTCTGGGGGACTACTGACATTGTTGTTTTTGATACTTAAATATTTTATTAAGGTTTTTTGTTTTTTTTTTGTTGCAAGGAAAAACAAATCCCAACACGTAAAGGAATAATACTAGCAATTCATGCACCTGGCAAAAAAGACCAGGAAGAAATACATTTAAACAAATAGATAAATTAAACAAAAACAATGTCAGTGTTTTATGACAATATATTCCAGAGACTGGCTTTTAAGTCCGCCCACTGACGCTGGTGCCAGGCCCTGCTTTACTATTCTCATCTTAGAGGAATGTTGACTCGCCTTTAGGAGATTGGCAGTGTTGTTTCTGTCTGACATCAGTCTGCATCTACACTGTGGTTCCCATGAGGCAAAAAGCCAAGACAATCATTCCACTGGCTGTGTGATTGGAATGACAAATCAATCCATTTTTCCTGTCGATCTGTGACACCAGATCACACAGCTGCTTAAGTATGATGGCATGGATATGGGTTACTGGGACACAGTGTTTGTTAACAAAGAATTCTCTTTAGGGGAAGAAAATCTCTAGCCCAGATTCTCATAATAAACTTCCCTGCCCTACATTTCTGTTGAATAAGCTGTGTAGTTGACAGTTTTGCTTTTCATTACTTTCACCCCTATCTTTCTCACTGGAGTATTAGAAAAAGGGACGGGAACAGCATCCTCTTGAGTATCATGGTGCTGTGAAAATGTTGGAATTCTGTAAGTTTTGTTACACAAACGAGGACACAGAATTCCATGAGAACTTATTTTTGTATGCCAATCAGTGTGGGGAAACAAGTAGAAGTCATTAAAATGCTCTGCTTTTTTGTGTGATAGTGCAAAAGTTAATTGTAGTGTTGTTAATTTTTTGTCCCTCATGGTACAACTTTATTGCAGTTTGTGACCTTAGTGGTCAGAGATTATGGCTGCTATTTGTGCAGGAGCTTGGACGTATGTCTTCATATCTTGGTTGCTGTTTGTGGAGTGCAAATGTCAGGCCACTGCTAAATAGTTCTCACAGAACCTACTATAGTTCTCTGTGTTTTACAACCTGTGCTACAATTTGAGGACCCCTCAAAGTTTTGTTTGTTGCAAAACAAGTGGAAAATGACTCACTTCTTCAAAAAAGGATTAGAATGTTTTGAATTGTATTGTATTTGTTACAATTACAAATGACTCTTGTTAAATCCTCTATGTATCCTTCCAACACTACATTCTCTACAGTTGACATAGTCAGTGAGGGGATCCAGGCAGGGGACCCTTCCAGAAACCTTATAATCCAGCACCCCCCACTCTCAATCTTTTTTTCTATTTCACACACACACACACATATACTCTTGATAATCATCTCAAGACTGCCACTGAAATGAACGCCAGGAAAACAAAGACTGTGCTTCAACCTTCGAGGCCCTCCTGCCCTGGTTTATGTTTTAAACACACGTGTAAATACATACAGACACATGTATTGCACAAAATACATAATGTGCCTTTGTGCCCGATATAGAATAAGCCTGTAAACACACTCAGTCATGTTAGTCAGAATTCAGATAGTGTTCAGCTGCAGATAACAACTGACAGGTTTCTACCTGAGAGAAGCTCATAATTGGTGGCCTCTCCTCTGGAAAAAATGAGTCCTTGAATGGTCACTTGCTCCATTAGTGGAAAGTACCCATGTTTTCTTCCAAGTCATCCTTCAATCTTTAACTGTTCCAGTAAAAGCTGTTGCTATGTTGTAACATGGGCTATGAAGTAACGCGAAAGGGCAATGTTTATCTAGTCTGAGTTTGTGTGACTGCATGAGATCTAGTGCTTACCTCACCTGCTGCAGCAACTAAAGTCAACACCACTTCAATTTACTGTATGGAGTAATTTAAGAATCAAAGGATAATGGAAATAAATACATACAATAACTGGAAGTGTATTTAGATCCTGGAATCTATTATTTATTTTTAGTGCCCCTTTAGGAAAATTGTCATATTGTTGTTGGACATTTTTGTATCTAAAAGACTCAAAGTTCAGCTAATGGGATCATGAAAATCTACAGATTGTCCCTACATGCCTTCACTCCACACTGAATGAAAAATGTATTCCAGTCCACACAAACACCAGGGCATATTTTTATTGTTGTTGCTTTTCATATATTCCAGCTTTGTCACTTTGTTCATATTCCGGATCACTTGAGATGATCAGTGTGCAAACAAACACACTCCAAACAGCACACAAATACACACATACTGTGAAACACACACTTAGATATGTGCACATACACATTCAAATAGCCACAAGTTCACGCGCACACACACATAAATGAATGCACACACTCTCACACACAAACACTTCTGATCTTGCCGACTGATACAAGATAATTAACAATATTCATACATCATTAGGGTGTTAATGTTGTGCTTCAACAACACTTTATTGTTGCCATTAATTAGTATCTATTGTCCTTTGATACTTCATGATGTGTTCAGTCAAGGTACAACATCACTTGTTAGCAGATGAGGTCGACAGGTCAGTCAATTCACTGATGGCCTTTAAAGTTACACTTCAACTTGGATATGCTAAATAAATAAAAATGGCAATGTAATTAACAAACTTAATAAACTGACTATATGTTCTGCCCAGATACTGGCATGGCATAACAGATAACACTCTCTAACTCTTTGATATCCCACCTAAACTTAGATCTTTCTTTCACTTTTGGCTACATTCACAGTTTTTCACTTTTTCCGACAGGCACTACCACAGTATGGATGAGTTCAGCCACTATGATTTACTGGAGGCCAGTACTGGCCGTAAAGTGGCAGAGGGACACAAGGCTAGCTTCTGTCTGGAGGACACCACCTGTGACTTTGGCCACCTGAAGCGCTATGCCTGTACCACTCACACTCAGGTAACACAGCAAACCAAAACACAAAATTAAGAAATTTAGGCTTCATTTGGTCACCCGCAATAGTCTTAATAGAACTGTTTTTGACTCTGATCAGTATTCCTCATGAGCGTCTCTCATCCCCTCTGTTTCTTCAGGGTCTGAGCCCAGGCTGCTACGATACATACAATGCTGATATTGACTGCCAATGGATCGATATTACGGACATCCAGCCTGGAAAATACATATTAAAGGTAAGAATCATGTGAGAATCAAGTGTGCATGGACATGGCAGCACAATTCATGGAAGACAGTGAGGGTCAAGGCCACCAAATCGAAACAAAGTGATCTGGGTAGTAAAAGAGTGATGAAGTTACTGAAATTTTTAGGTTTCTAGTGCTCAGCAAGCACTTCATGGCTCAGTGGTTTCCCATCCTGTTTTTCATGCATATTTTATTGGGTCAGTGTGGATGGAAGTGTACTAAAGATCTTTACATGATCGTCTTCAATGTCATCTATCTCAAATACCCTCATTTTTAAGTGTTTTGTGACTATGGTGAGTTGTAATGTGTCTTCTATCCTTTGTCTCTTAGCTCCAGGTTAATCCCAAATTCTTGGTCCTGGAATCAGACTTCACCAACAATGTGGTCAGGTGTAACATACACTACACAGGACGGTTTGTTACAACAAACAACTGCAAGATAACACAGTAAGTAAGACTGAAAATACACACTTTTAACACTTCGTTGGTAATTGATTAGTAATTAATTAGTAATTAGTGAGGTCACTGGGAGAGTTTTACATTCATTACCAATGTTCTCATAATCTGCTGCTTATTTGTACAAGTAAAGCCTGGGCAATTTTCAGATATTGTGTTTTTGTAGAATGTGAACTAAAAGGCTTTTGTAGAACTAAAACGCAAACCATAAATGGGTTTGTGTCTTGTTCCAATAGAGTAACACTGTACCACATAAGGGGTGGCAGCTAAACACAGTTTTATGAAGAGCCTCAGAGTGTTTTGAATTACTTAGTGGACTTAATTGGTTCCTGAATGAAATATTTGATGATTAAATTGAATTGTGTTCTCATTCTCCAGTTAAGATTAATAATCTCTGAAACCTTCATATTCTCCCTCAAAAGGAGATGAAGGGGTGTTGAACTCTTGAATCATGTTTTAAGGAAGTGTATCATTGCACTCAGAATTACTATCATATCCTCTTGAAATGACTTGATGCTGAGGAAAGCATCATTAGGTTCAAGTGCTCTAGTCGGTCTCCCTCAGTTTCACTGGTACAGTGAAAGATACACTTAAAAATATGTTTGCCAAAGCATATTCGGAGTTAATGAAAGCTGAATAAAATACTTAGGTAGTGATGCCAATAAAATAATTACATTAGCAGATGCCACAAGCCCTATTTCCATCATTAACATCTGATATTTGAAAAGATTCAATATTTGAAAAAAGATAAAAACATTCATATCATGTTCATGTATGTAATTATATCCGCACTTATTATGGTTACAAACATTTTCTGCCCAAATGAAATTAAATTATCATAATCGTCATTGAATATGAATTAAATACATTGTAATTTCAAACAAAAGAGCATATTGATAACAAGACATATTGATTGTTACAATTGGCTTCAAATATAATAGGGATGGAATATGTATGCACCTGAAAATAGTTTTTGATGAATTATATATTGCAAAACTTCTCACCAATTTGAGTGTTTGGTTAACCCCAATTAAATTATAACAGCAAATGTTTTTTGTATTGTTTTGACATTAAGGTGTGAATAAGATAAAAGTATAAAATGTATTAAACTTCTTTCCTGTAAATGGAATGAGAATTGTTTGTAACTCATAGGGTCGAAGACAGTTGATAACGTTATCTGAGCAGTTATTTAGTTTGGGCACCGTCAAATTGTTCATCATGTACAGTATCTCATATTACATGAGCCTGGAATGTTAAACTTCCTTTGACAAAAGTGTTGAATGTTGTCTGTTTATTTTACAGGTCTTGATCAGGCACTGGAAGGCTGCCACACTCGAGTGACCCTGATTGCTATTCCATTGAAATGTGAATGGAATCCATTTGTTGTTGGTTCTTTGTTGTTTGTCTCAACTATTTTGTGCTGTCTCTGTATCCTGAGCCCATGGCAAACAAGGGTTCCACTGGCACTGAAAATGATGTGGGGGTTTCAAGTAGACATGCACACACACATACAATTTTGCATTATGCATAATGTCTTCTTGAAATCCCAATAATGACTAATTCACATTCCTTCAATGTATGTACGTCAAAAGATTGTCCTACCCACTATATTTCTCATATTGCATCTCTACCAGTCTGGTTTGGTTAATGTTGGAACACGTCATTTGCCCTCAAAAAGGGTGTTTACTGTATCTGCACACAAACATATGCACACCCCGGCCGAGTGGCTCTGTTCGAATTATAAAGAAAGTGTGTAACGGTGCCGGTGCTGAAATGAGTTCTAGACAAGTCAGGGTTCAGCTGCGATCCAACAAATAAAATTAAGGGGACACAGTCTTCCCAGCTACATTCACTCATGCCGTGTGGGGACAGACAGAGATGCTCAGTGACTCAGAAGGACTATAATGTGTGTTGTTGTTTTTTGTTAGTTAGTTTTGTTTTTTTCTCTTCACTGCCTCAGTGGGTCAGGCTGGGATACTGTGATTTTCTGACCACGTCCAGTTTAATGTTGTGTTAACAGCAAGATGAAAACAGCAGGTCATATTTGCATCCATCAAATTTGAAGTCAACATGAAAACAGACCATCAGTACTGGTCGCTGTACTCCTCCAAATCCTGGCATATTTGTGTTTTGTCCCCGTTCGTCCATTTCGTTATTTCAGTAAAACATGAACAGGAAGCTCAACTGGCAGAAAATGGTGCTTTCCAGAAAACCAGACCCACGCCATGTAAGCTGTATATTTACACTGTCTTGGGGTCTCTTCTTCAACTACCAACACTGGTCAGATGGAACATAGGTCATCTATACCTTTTGAAGAATATATATACAAATATTCCAGTCATGCATGACTTTAATAATGGACAGTATCTTACTGTAACTGATTGTTCTTTGTTTATCCAGTTTGACCTGTTACTGTAATTTGTGAAATTCAATGAACTAATTTTTTTTTTTTTTTTTGATAATCTGAATTATTCAAATAGTTGTTGGAAAAAACACTATGGCTACAGACTAAGCATCATAATGCACAGCGTAAGAAAGCCGTCTCTACCTACCTCTCCAATTGAGTGAGCTGTTTCCTGTCAAGTGTTTGGTTTCCATTGGAAATCCCTGCGATGGTTCACTATGACCTCCTACCACTGTGTTACAGCACACAGCTAAAACTCACAATTCTGTTGAATATATCAAAGATCACACAATATTAGGATGCAAACAATGAGTAAGTAATATTCCAAAAGAATCCTTAAGACTTCAGTCCTGATAGGTTTGCGACACCTGTGGTTACTGATGGTAACAACAAATGTGGTTTCATACCTCATCAAACACTCCTTGAGTAGCTACTATGTAAGCAGCAGTACATCAGAAGAGCAACTTGTGTATCTGTTTACAGTGGAACCAAACGTACCCGAGTTTTATTAAAGAAGTCAGTCAATAATTGGACTTCCTCCGTCATGCCATGAGCAGCTGTGATTTGATTTCATAGTAGTTTTCTACTCAACAGCAGGGCACAGTAACAGGAGATGGTTATCTTGCTGAGAAGTTGTCGTTGTACAGCCTGTCGCCTGCAGCTCTTCATCAACAGCTCACTGTGATTGTGACTTCATGTTCCATCAATCCCTACAATATTTAGAACTGATCCGCTGAATGCTTGCTGACGTCTTGTTTTGTTTTTCACATTTCTGTCTATGATTGTAGTTCACACTAATCGTGTTGACAAAAAGATTCCTAGGACTGCTTTACAATAAAAGTCAACCCCATTTTTGTGAACCAGCAGCAGTAGGAAATATTTGGTTTGCCTTAATACAACAGTAATATGATATAACAATTGAAACTATAGAGAGGTAATTGCTAAATGTAAATACATTGAATAGCTATTGCAGAAAAAAATGCCTACCATAAAAAGTATGAAAAATGGGGTTTGATTACATGAAAATCTTAAAGATTACAACTTCAATATCTGTACATGATGATTGAACGATGGCAGAGCACCAAAATTAGTTTGTTACAGTTGTTTGCAGAATAGACCTAGTCTTTGGTATCCAATTTACTGCTCATTTTACTGTAAATAGCCAGTTCTTTAATTTGATCTGTATTTTTCTTATGTGGGTAGCTCATGATCATACTGTACGTTCATTGACGAGATGCAACAATATGTGATTCTGACATTCAGTGGAGCGACAGAACAAGAATAGGCGACAGCAATACAGAATCTTTGTCATGTGGTGATGACATTTGTATGTTTCTAACAATGAACACCTGTCAAAAATGTCTTATACAATAAAAGCATTTACACATCTGCTGTGTGCACTCAATGGAATATGAACACTATGCGCCAGCAGTGGATCCCTGTGCTTCGTATGAGGTTTACACAGAATACGGAATAATCAGTAGATTCTGAGGAAATGCTGTGTGACAGGTGTGACAAGTCACTGAAATCATTCCCTTCATAAGAGATTAGGTGTCATATGTTTAATTCATTAAGGCATTTTCCCAGCTACTGTATGTCATTTGTCATGCATGATTCAGGCAGGGTTGCAAATCTGAACTTGATGAGAGCAGAAAAACACGCACTGCATATAAGATGCTTGCAAACACCAAACCGTGAATACAACAACTGGGTCTTGGCACTGGTGCTGTGCATAAATTAATAAGTCACATTAGCGTTTATGTTATAGTCGATGTGTTGCGATATGTGTGGACATCTTTAAAAAGAATCTGCTTTGGTCACATGCTGTCACCACAGAGCCAAAGACACATTCATTCATTGTGTTGCCAATACAGGGAACATAACATCATTTAGCAACAGTGAGAGAAGAGCTTATAATGTTTTCAAGCTAAACATAGAACTACACAAAAAGTAATATTCTCAGTTTTGTCAGGAAAGGAAGTGATTCCCTGACTATCTTCTGTTTTACTGCCCTCCAGCGTTGTTGCAAAGTTCTCATAACCAATTAGTGGACAACAATGATGGGAAAAGAATCTGATGAGGGTGGGGCATACAATTTTAAATGGTTGTATTTTGTATGTATATAAAATACATGTTTTTCTTTTCACAGTAAGGGTTTTACTGCTGTATTGTGACAGGACTCATTAAACTTGGTGTCTCCTACCCTCTCACGCTTCACCTTAACCGCCCATTAGACACGGTGCATGCATAATATACGCACATGGGTTTGCACCGCATTTGGGCGATTATTCCTCACCGTCTGCACAGGAAAGATACCTGCCCTTCCAAATTCCCCGTTTATCTTTCATTGCATTTCAGACTCTCAGCAGCTGCACGTTGGCTACATGGTGCATGTGCATTCACATTCTGCAAGGGCAACCGACATGGGCCTATTATAGGCTGTTCTAAAAAAATGTTATTTGAGAAGTCATTAGTTCAGATTTTATTTTTACGACCGCCATGCCAGCTGGTATTATTCTGGCCGCTGCTGCCACTGTTGTGTATGTTACAGTTTATTTGGGAAAACAGTCATTAATATGCATGTGTTGCTCATGTTGGCTGTGTGCGTGTGTGTGTGATGTGTGGGCTTATTCAATTTAGTTGTTTTTGTGTGGTAGGAGGGGTGGTTGTCATGAGCCCATATTCTGCTGAAATGCACACACAGCTTGTGTGATGATGTGATTATCTGTAAGGAGGATTCGCATTTGCAAGAAATTAGCTTGTTTATTTTTGTGATAGCTCCCACATCCGCTAAGCTGTTTGCTCGAAAAAGTTAAAGACTTATTTGTGTTTCAGAACTGAATATCTCATAGGTACAGGCTACTTCTGCAGTAATATAGAAAGAGGGGCAGTTAGTTGGGCTGGTAGTTTGCTTTTTTTCTCGACTAAGAAAGGGAGTGTCAGAGGGCCACTGTTTAAGAGTCACGGTTCACTATCAAACGAGATAAAACTGTATTTTAAATCTTGTCTTTTAAGTCAACATGAATGAGAAAAAAATAGATATTTGTGGTGAGCTATCTTCGTAAAGATAACATTTTATTGCAGGGCTAAAAGATTGCATTCATTTGTGCAGTGTACCTAATAAACTGGTAACAGTATAGTTAATTTCAGTTGTGAAATATGATATTTGAAAAAAATACATTGCCATTCCTCGTAGAAGTATTTCCTGTCCCCCCAGGAGAGTGAGAATCCATTATCTATTTGTTTTGATACGCTGTTCTCACTCTCGTATTTGGTCTGTCCTAACTAAACCCTGACCCCCGTGATGGGACTTCCTTTTGGTATGGGCTGTTTGTTCAGGCTGTCCACATGAAATCACCCCATTCCAGCTCTCCATGCCACATTATGTTGTTTTGTGAAAGTGCTGCAGTACGTGCAGACATGGACCCAACTTTGACCGTATGTGTTTATATGAATATGTTTGCTTGTGTCTGTGCATAGCTTCGTCTTCATGTATGTTTGTGTGTGTGTGTGTGTGTGTGTGTGTGTGTGTGTAAGAGAGAGAAAGACAGATAGGTTACTCCTAATGGGGGAGAGAAGCCAATTGATGCAATTAATTGTTTTACTTAGAGTATTACTTTTCCAAAAAGAATGGACAGTCTTTGCCTGTCTTGTTGAAAAGTCTCACTGTTATGTATCTATCTTTGATAACTAGCCTCTGTTTTTGCTTCTATGTGTTCTCGTGCAGCTTCTGGTTAAGCAGCTTAAATGAAGCCTTATTGTCCTATGTTGGGTAGAGGCAGCAATGCACAATGTCCATCGGGAGTCTCTTTTACAGTGCTGCAATCATTCCAATTTCTTAAAGATTTAGGACCATTTCTTGCAACAAATTCATATGCAATTGTATTTATCAGGAATGTGCTAGAGGGTGTTTCCCCAGTGAATCCAAACAGTGTGCGATTCTCAGTGAAGCACATTAAAATACCCCAAGGAGTGTACGGAACAAAATCCCACAGACACATACTGTATCACTGAGATATGCAATATACATGATGCACAATGCCAACGCCAGCATGGTCGTAAGAAACTAGAGCAGGAGGAGACTAGGGGGACAAATTAGCACAACGAGCTGCATGTAGCAGGAGGAAGAGTTTGTATGGTCAGAACAGCTTGTCAGATTACGAGGTCATTGTAAAAGACAGATGATTCTGATCAGCCGACAGGATGTGCAGCGTCACCTGCTCTCTATATCCAAGAGTTCAACTTAAAACATTCTGCAATTGGGGCTCCATCCCAAGGGAATTCAAGAAGCCTGAGATCTGCAAACATGTGGCAAGAGTATCCTGAGAAAAGGCAACGACTCTTACAGAATAGGTTACACTACATGATAAGAGCAAATTCATTACATATGTAAATACTTTGCTTTGTGCAGGAAAATGTTATGTCTGATGGTCGGTAAGCAGAGGATCTGTAGGGAGGGCTATAAAGAACCTCAAGACAAATAACTCCCCTTTACAACAAGGCGCGTTTAATTTACCAGCAAACCTATGTAAAGCAACAGCCGTTTTGCAGCTGCAAGCTTGCAACCTAATTGAGGAAACAGATCAAGTGAAGTGAAACAAGACTGATTAGATCTTCCAGCATTCTCAGTGGCAAGATGTCATTGAATACACAGAACCCCCTCAGCAACCAGAGCCATGGGTATAATGCTGCTGATGCTGAAAATGGAAAACCACGAGGAAACACCCTTTTTCTGTGTTTGAAGTTGTCAATCACGACCAACTGAGGGCTGAGTGTCATGAATGGCTTTTGGCTTAAATTTCTGGCATTACCGGTAAAGCATGATGATGGTGGTGCCATTACAGTTGCACTGCCTGCACAGTGATGAAGCTGAAAGAGGTCGGACCTTTGGGATCCGTGATAAGGACAGGCAGATTGTGGTGGTTGTTATTCCTGTCATGAAAAATTTGACCTATCATTATCTACTGAGTGCAGTCCCTCTCCAACATCCATCACATCCTTGCTAAACCATAATCACTGTGTATATGGCACCCGAGACAAGTTGTGAAAATGATAATAAACACAAAATAATTAATTGAATACAGTAAATAAAGTGAATAAATAACACAAGCGTGTCCTCCCAATAACCTTTTCCTTCACTTTGAAAAATATTATTACAAAATGACATTCCTGCCCTTATCTTCTTTAGCTTCTTTTTTTCCCCTCCCACTAGTTGATTTGACATTTATTTCACTCATGCAGCGCATAATCATAACTTTGTGGTGACACTGATGACAAGGGGACAACATTCAGCTTCATTAATTTGCTCATCCTCCTCATCCCTGTCCCATTTCAGCCACAGTGTGTGTATTAGGTCATGGTGAGGTCACGTCATGAGGGAGTGTTTGTGCTCAAATTATAATTATTATTTGTGTTTATTACTGTCAGGGGAGCTTGCCTCGACAATCCGCATGTAGCATGTGAAAGAGCTTAATTAAGCTTTTACTGGATGCATACATCTTTACTTAATACTTTAGACTATCTCTCTGGCAGTTTTGTATTTTCTATGGTATTTGCAAGATTTATATATGTAATCTTAAATACCTTATTTCCTCTAAAGCATAGTGTTCAACTTACTAACTCCCTCTTTGTTCAGCACATTAACAAAGGTTTCTAGACATTTGTTACTTTCCCCTATTTCAATATAAAGTCTAAATATTGACAAAGACTCAAACCCCTCCACCCTAGCCAGCTTGCAAAGGGCCAAAAGACATGACTTGAGACCTTCATTCTCCACTCCAGCAGGTTTATGTGAGGATAATTGAATTTAGTAGAAAGAGAGAATAGGGACTAGTCTGTGAGCTGACATTGACAAAAAGCCCACCTCCAGACTTGAGGTCTAAATTCTGCAGAGCCTATACTGTGTAGAGATTCTGTGGCACAATATCAAGGCCATAGGTAATTCATCTTCTGGCTCTAGCGCTGCTTTGCGACCTAATTAAATGAATAAAGATGTGAAGAAATCTTCATTTCCGTTTGGGATAAACACATTGTTGCATGGGAAAGGTAAGAGGAAAGGTTGGCTCTGTAAAGGTAGAATAGACGCAGATTAGAAACCACTGGCTGGAAGATAGCGAATGGCTGAAGACACTTGAATAGTGAGGTTCTGATTTACATGCAGCTGCAGTTGCTGGCTTGTTTGTTTTGAAAGTACCTCATCCTTGCACACTTTATGCAAAACTGATTCCGCCATATACTGTATATCTGAGTTAACAAACATTTCCCTTCTTGTGTTAACACTCCACATCGAAAGCAATGGGCGTTATACGAGACAAAGAAGCAGCTTGTGTCATAGACACAAGACACACTTGAGTGCACTGCCTGACAGTTTAAATACCACCTGCTTCATCACTGAAACATCTGGCTTGTATTTGGTGTCGACTGCAAAAAAAAAAAGCACTCTCTCTTACAGCTTAGTTTGCTCACTTTCATCAATTTTAAGCAGTATGCAAATGGGCAATTCCTCCAACATCCCTAAGAGTCCACATGGTTTCAACAACAGGCAATAAATTCTCATTAAGGCTTTCCTTCCTTGAAAGGCAGAAATTGAAGTTGGGATATTCGTGTTTGTTCGTTGTCCCAGGCAATTGGAACAAATGAGGAGATCTTGTGGGGGGAAGATAGGCTTCCAGCCTTAATCGGGGTCCCTGCAATAGCCCTGCACCCACCCACCTACTCCTCCACTGGCTCCATGGGGAGTGTCAATGATGAAGTCAGTCACGGGGAGCGTCGGCCCTGCACCACTGTGCTCGGGCCCCTCTGACAGGCCCATATTTCTCCAGACTCATTCTCCAAACTCCACTGTCACCATTTCCTGTGTTGTCAGGGGGATGACTCCCATCATCAGATCTGTGAAACAGTCTGGTGGCAGCAGCACTCCCTCGCTGTAGCTGACTAACATGGCCGTGCTCCAGGCAGCTGGGTGACCCCTCCTTAGTAGCTGGCTGGATGCTCTGACTCCTGTCATCATGCACATGCAAAGGGGATCTCGGATGGGATTTGTTTTTGTTTTAGCTTTTGGGAGCTGGTGATTTGTATATTTTTTTGAGTTTGTGTCAACACAAATATCAGAGTCAGCTGGGACCCTTGTTGTATTTCCAAAGCTGGACAACACCAGAAGCCACTGTCAAAAGACTATTTTTTGGGAAACAGACTCTCAGACTCTCAGAGAGTGGCATCGATCTTCTCATCTACTGTATCTCTATTTCTTCCCGAAATGTGAAAATCTTCCTTTAAGGGTATCATTAACACGGTTCCATTTTCAGTGTTGCAGTGTAATCATGCATTTTACTATATGTTGTGATAAAATACAACATAATTGAAAGTTGAATTGTATGTAAGATTATACACTGCTGTATCATTTGGCTTGAGGTACTATTTCAAGTCACAGCAAACCTTTGATGATCTTAGTAGAATTATTTGATTTTAGTTATTAAATTACTAATGACATCTTGCAGTGAGATTGCACAAAGACAGTGGGTTTTTTTGGGGGGTCACCAGCTTTAAGGGCTATAATTAACAGAAACCACTTTACAGAGATGAAAATGGACGATTTTGCAAACAATTATGAACATGATTACATAGAGTTTTTATTCTATTTGAAGCCATCTTGATCATTAACTGCTCAATTTGCAAATCCTCAGGCTGCAGAGGCACATTCACAGAGGCAGATGTAAATGACTCACTCCAAGGCATTGATTCCATTCTGTTTCCGATTATTGTCATGTGCTCACTATTCGTCTTTGTCAACTTTGCCTCCCCTATAGACCAAAAAAGGAAAGTCTCAACAGGTAGCCTACAGTGAATGGCAAAATGGCCAATGAGATTTATTTCTATCACTCTTTGAATTACCATGTTTAGCAGAGAGCTACCTACCTAGCCTTTTTCCTCATCTCAAAATCTGTTACATTCCATCCACAGGAAGTCTGAGAGGGTCCGTGACCTCAAAAAACTGTTTTATAAGATATATGTTGGGTGGTGGGACCCCAGCTCCATGTGCACATGTGCATCTGTGTGTGATACACAGGCATAAATGCATGCCTGTGTGAGTGCATGACTTTACGTCTGTGTAGCTTTGTCCAGATGGTAAGGTGTGTGTGTGTTTAACAGCCTGAAAGGGCACTCTATCTCCATCTCTCCTGAGAAATCAAACAAAGGCCCTCTGTGCTCCATCAACTTTAGGTCATACTGTGCCCTTTATGTGGACCTCACCTCCTCCTTCCTTCCTCCAACCTCTATGTTCTCTCCTGTTGACTGATAGTGAGGAAGAGTTGTGTATCAGATCATTATTATTGGTGTTAATGTTGCATTAAGACTAGGACAGGCAATTTATTTTAGAAGTATTTCTTCTTATATTTGTTGAAATTGTCTTTACATCCTGACAGTAATGACAGCTCCTGTCCCCAACACTCTCGCGTGGACTCGCCCTCCAGCAGTAGTCAGGCAGTGCACGTTCATGTGTTTTGATGGAGTAGCTTTGGAGGAAGGTCTGAAGTGAGGGGCAGGGATTTCTTCATTTGGATACTTTCAAAATCGAGCTTACTCTTGCTGGTTTCTCCAAAGTTGCTTACCCCAACTTTAAAGGTGCTAAATTTAAAATTGAGAGCATACCTGGTGCCTCTACAGGGCTCTCTACAGGGCTCTCAACATGGCGACAACTGAGCCGGCAGCTCGCAGCTAACAGTGGGAAAAGCCCTAACGGTGCAAACAACAGCAACAGCTGACAATCTTTACCTGACTGGTACCCCCAACACAGGTAGGGGCTATAACGCATCATAAAGGATGCTCAAGAGTATCTTGGCTTATATTTTGGCTTGTATGGAGATCATACATCAAAAGCCAGATGAACTGGTTGTGACATTGCCTCAACAACCAATAGCATACAATCAGCAAGAATTTTTTATCAGATCTGCATTTGTTTGTCCCAGCCAGATTTAATTGATGAGCGGCATGCAGTTGAATGATTTTACACCCGTGTTTTACAAGTGGACATAATTTAATTCAAAAGTGAAAAGCATCTGTGCAGTCTTGATTTGTTAAGAATCAATGATTATATTCTGTTGCTGTTAACCAGTCCTGTATACCTGAAGGCACAAGTCTTTGCTGTCACCACTTGTCACAAGAGATTTCCATGTGTATAGCAATTACAGCGTTTGTTGGTGGCTGCGGGTGGGTCCTCTGGGTATATATATATATCGCTGTATAATTTAATTCCCCTCTCCACAGAGTAATTCTATCACTCTCACAGCACAGGGAGAGGCAGACTGTGGGGAAGATAAATCCATTTAAAGTGTATTTTGAATGGGATCGATGATGGTCACCTGCTCACAGGATGTCATGGGGAAAATTGTGTTTGCCCTCATGTAAGTTTTAAAAACTAAATTTTAATCAGGCAAGTAGTATCAATCACTAGTATCACAGATATATTATGCACTTCTACAGATTATATAAATAGGTCACTGACAAGAGGGAGAAAAAAAGGTCATATAGTGCCCCTGGTGGACAATCAGTGTGACCATGAGACAACTACAGAGAACCAACACTACCACCTGAAGGCAAAGAATGTCCCTCTTACTTATATTTAGATATGGCTGCAGTATCATTTGCTGTGTGTAATGTGTTGGAAACTATTCAAAATCACATTTTAATGATTGAGTACAATGTCTTGATTAAATGGGGCAAATAATAACAACAAACTACTCAAACAAGGAACAAAGAGCCTCTATGAAAACCAACCTCCTTGAGTAACGGCACAATAATAAAACAGTGAACTGTTCGCAGTCTGAAACTTAGCAGCTCGTCTCAAGATTATATGTGAACAATAAGGGTTTTCAATAAGATCCCTGATCTCAGCCTAAGCATGAAAGCATGTGCATTACAATGGTGGTATAGTTACCAGAGGTCAGAGAGAAACTATATATATTTATTTATATATATATATATATATATATATATATATATATATATACATATATGCTGTTTAAAAGTCCAGCTTGGTGAGTTAGCGATGATCTGCTATTCACTACCAACTCTCCTTGAGGTACCTTTGAGCAAGCTTTTTAACACCCGCCTGCTCTCGTAGAGCTGCTTAGCACCCAACAGGTCCCCAGCAATGTCAAATTACCATATGTGTAACCGTGTCAATGTGATTCAGAATACTACTAAAGAACAGCGCAAAATAACACAATACTTGATATTACAACGATATAACACCTTGATTTCCATATAGAACTCATTCTGTGTGATGGGGAGGGAGAGCGAGAAGGCAGCGTGGAGGGACTGACACAAAGGAAGAGAGAATCAGGAAATAGAAGGGTGTATCATAAATATAGAATATGATCTGTGAAGGATAAATGAAGGTAATCTGTAAATGTTGGAGCTTTTTATTTCATACTAAAAACCATCAGCGCCTCTCTGTGGTCAAATAGCCACACTGCAGGAGAAAAGTTGTCTTAAATTGACATACATCACATGGGTCCGATATTTCACTTGTTTTGTGCTTAATTAAATAGAGCCATTAACCCTGAGGTAATTCTTCTGTGATGTAAAAGTGATGTTTTAAGAGCAAATAGAAATGTCAACAGGAAGAGCCAAGTACATCACAGAGTCAGTATCAAGTAAGTATGAATTTTCTGTTGTTTTGTTCCAGCTGAAGTCTTGCAATAATACTGTTTCTTATTGTGACTCAGACAGACTTCTATTCAACATTACAGTGCATCTGTATAGAAATATGGTGAAATACTGCTGAGCTCACATAAAGAAGCATGATTTAAACTAGAGGTACAGTAATATAGGATCTTTGGTTTACCTTTGAATTCAAAATACAATAGAAACTAAAGTGACTTTACACCCTCAACAATGTATCATTATAATGGTGCATTGGTAAATACATAAGATAATACTAAATAATTGAATCTTCATCACAACAAAAGTTATTGTACATCAAAAATAATCAGTTTACTTTCTTCTGTAAAAATTCCTAAAAATTGCAGGTCAACACAAAGAGTACATTAACACGCAGCTCTCTCATAGCCACTAAAGTAACACACATTCAAAACTAGTTTCATTCCAACTTCCCAAACAGAAAAAAACACATGAAATGATATAAAACTACAAATAATCAGCATGCCCTTTAATACAGGAAGACGAAAACCAGCAACCCACAGATGTTCAGAGCTTTTTTGTTTGCAAAATGATGAAATTACTGACAATTCTGCTTTATCAGTGATTTGTCCGAAATGGAAAAACTGGATATGTTAAAATATGCAAGTGCTTTTAACCTAATAATCATCAAAATTGTGGGAAATTGTAATATTTTCCTAACCCTGTTGATCTCACTTTGACATAACTGTCACATCATTTCTTTGACAGCTCTGTCTTGAAGAGGCTACATCTGGTTGTCGTTATATTGTGGGCTGGAGTGCTGCTCCTGCATGGCTCCAGCAGCTGCCCCCATGGCTGCCTGCTGGGCCGCTGTCTGGACTTGAGGGTTTTTCCAGGCTCCCGTGGTCCATTCCTCCTGAGCTTTGGACATGCTGGCCCCACTGCCACGGTAGTAATTATGGATCTATAGGCAAGGCGGTTTCACAAGTTATCATCAACAAGCCTTCACGCGTGGAAGGTAAGTGGTTTTCATTACTTTAGCTAATGTTATCGCATAGATTTTTTTTTAGAGTTTTGCAACTATATTCCCAAATCAGTGAATCTGTTTGGGAAATACTGTTTTTTCAGGGACAGCAAAGGATTTAATGTAATTCTGGCATTTATAATTATAAACCTAACAATGCTTCTTTGTTGATATCTCAAATCCTGTGACGTTATTTTCTACCACAATCATTTTAATAATCTGCTACTTTTGGCAAAAGGCATCATAAAAGAGACAATGACAGAAAATGTATTCAAAGAAGTTGCCTGTCTACATTTCCCTTCGTATAAATGCACCAAGTTAAATTCTTACCTTGGTGAGGGCAAAGAAGGACAGTGAGGCCACTGCAGTGAACATGATAGTAGGGACCAACATGATGAGCGCAATCAAAATATTATAGCTAAAGAAGGACAGAGTAGCCAACCAACCGCTGAAAAAGACACAGATGACCATTAACACACACACACAAAAAAAGAAGAAGATTCATTTTAGATTATGAACACAACATCAACCATAATGATCTGTTATTGGATTGTCTGGTGTTCCTCATTATGATACCACCACTGAACATCTGGATGTTAAATGCCGGTACTTTTTGTGGACTTTAAGTACTGCAATATAAAGTTTAAAAGTTTTACAGCTCATACATGAGAATATTCAGTTGCACATGGTGACATTTACAAACTTAATGGAGGCTGTCATAATATTAATTTCCGATCATCAGCCTGAGTGAGGTGACATTTTGAGGATCTCTTTAACAGCCTCTCAGAATCTAATGACAGGACTATCATAAAAGTTATATGAGGGCAATTTCTGGTGTTTCATCCCTCTCGTGTTAATGAAAGCAGCGCACAAGGTCTTTAAAAAATATATATATATAGTCCTCCTGACAGGACGTATTGCTTGACCTCCAAATGTTTCATTCAAAGTAGATTTTGTAGTTTGATTAAAACAACTTCTGATACTTAATGTTAATTTGTGCATAACAATGAATCAATCAAATATAAACGCTTGTGGAAACATCTAAACGTCAACAATGGCTCTGGTATTTGAGTTGCATTAGACTAAGTATGAGTTTCTGTATCTTATTGTAATGGCACTCACTTTAGAGTTTGTCGAGTCTTACTTTAGTAAATTATTTTCTTAAGTGAAGACTCAACATAAAAATGAATAATTTCAATGAAAGATTGATGAACATGCAAAATATCTGCTATTTAAAAACTATGTAAGAGAAATATTTGGAATGTATTTTCAATCTGTGACTCTCACCATACTCCCCATCCAGGGATGCCTATGCATTGGATGATGCTGATGCCAACTTGGGCCATGAACACAAAAAAGAACTGCATGAAGTTGAAGGAGCTGTCGCTCCTAAGTAAAAAAAGAAAAGAAAAAGATGATCGAGAAATATTTACATGTGCATAAAAAATGTTTCACTACTATACATCTAATATTTTATGTGCATGCTGCATCTTACATGATGTTATTCATGTTATCTATACATTTGGTTTGAAGGCATTCAAGCCTACAGGGTGATATAGGTCATTCCCACTCTGCACCATGAAGAGTAATGTCTGGTTTGATCTTCACCAGAGAGGCGGGTAAGACCCACATTTTGCAGACAAAACGTTGGCTGTCCATGACTCAGGACACTCGTCAAGAAGGAGATAGCATAGGCCCAGAAGATAAAGGAATGATTTAAGAAGATATTTTACGCTACCTTGTATTGCAATATAACACATTAGTCCATTATTAGTAAGGTATATGTGTTATGTATAAGGTTATTATTGTGTTGCTTTGTACTTTAAACAACTACGACAGCTTTGCCAGAAAAATGCAACTACAAAACAGAACTTTATAATGAGTTACCGCTGGAGTACTGACTAAACAATATTGATATCATGTTACTATTTTCTATTTGACTTACTTGAAGGCCTTGTAGAGGGGCCTGAACCAGCAGACATAAGAGCAAGGAGTGAACATGATTAGCCAGATGATTGCCAGTCCAAAGTTGGTCACGCCACCTCCCCCAAACATCCAAGCAAAGCAGCCAATGAGATTCACAGCAAGAGTAGCACTATTCACTGTAAGACCAAAACAGACTGTTACACACTGTTACATTCGGTGTGCAGACATGAACATGCAGAAAAGTGTTTGAAAAAGGGTTGATATGTGGATATGAAAGCAGACAGAATTAATGTAAAGTGACATATGTAATTGCAATGCTTGAGTTACAAAATGGCTTGTGTTTCCTGATTAGCCTTTTTTCGGGCCTCCTTCTCTTTTAATTCTCAGTAATGTTATGAGGCTACAGTACTCCCCGCTTAAGTTGCACTTGGGTCTAATTGTAGCTCTGTGCTTTGGTCCCATCTTTCTTCTCTAAACTTCAAATTTTGGTTTACAAGAGAATGATGAGGCCAAACACAGCTGCAACATGACAGTGATTAAGGAACACAGTTAACACTTCAAATTATTTCTACACAGGAAATGAGAAGGAAGAAATTGCATGCTGACTAACATGCAAGTATGCAAATAATGTGCATGCCATACATACAGAAAATTGGTGCAGGAAAAGAGATTAACAGCACATCCAAAAGCAGATTGGGAGTTTGAATACCTGCTTATGTTTATTGTTTACTTAATAAGACAACACCTGCAGAGAGAAGAGAGTTTAGTCGCTAGTTTAGAGTAACAGATATATATTTTTTTTTTGTTGTGTATAAATTATTATTTCAAATGAAAAACATCTTTTGTTTTGTTGACTGGGCACTTCAAACACAATCATAATCTGCTGTGGTTTACAGCAGGTAAATTGGAGTGGAGAGGCCCCTCTGCACTTTGCTATATTTGGCCAAAATCGGTTGTATGCTTTGACACCACAGCTTCACTTTTGTTTCCATTATCTTTTGTTACTATATACTGTATATTGGCTCATTGCCAACTCACTCCTAACCGCCAGTGTCACGGCACCTACATAAATGTTGCAGCAGCTTTGAGTTACTCCCTGCACTCTACCATGCATGCCTTCATGGACGGGCAGGGAGCTTCCAGACCAGAGCAATATCACAAACATCATTGTCCCGCTTGTTTATGGTGTAATAAACTTTGATGAAAGTGCCTCTGGCTGAAATTGTTTAACACAATCTCAATGTTAACTGCTCTGCTCAAACCAAGGCCATCTGGTCAGCGCTATGACTCATTAGCAAATAAACCAGTCAGAATAACACAGTCACAGCCAATAAAAAGAATATATTTTTGGAGCAAAGGGACCACTTCCAAACCATTGTCCTTCTGTTACATAGTTCTTATTAACCACAGAGGTGAACACAATTCATGGAAACTCCTGGAAAACGCTGGCTTCTGTTGTTATATTTTAGAGTCAAGCATCAAAAGTCTAAAGTTTAAAGTTTCATCGTTAAAATGTAAGCTCCAAAGTTGAAATGTTAGCCTGATGCAGGGATAATGCAACAGGAAATCCCATACGACTATTATAACAATACAACCTCACTGTAAGCCACTCACATATCCACAGGTGGTACATTTTCTTGCACATGCTGCGGTGGTGTTCAGGGATCTCATCAAAGTCCTGGTAGAAGCATGGCTTGAGTGGAATGAATCCCGGCAGTGGGGGGAAGTTGGCCTCTGAGATAAATAATTCCAGTTAGACATAGCAGCTTGGGTATGGTGATTGCTTTATAATAAAGTATTGCTTCATAATCTCTGACCTGCCATGGGGATAAAGTGTGACGTTTGCTGTTTAGATTTACTCCTTCTTCAGTCTCTTGAGCCTGTCAAATAAGAAGAAACTGGAGGTTAGCACGTAGTTGTTGGTATACTGACTTATTTCTGTAGCCTTTGTATAACCCACCGAGCAAACAGTTAACCTTCAGGGAATGTGTCCTGAAGGGTGCTTTTACAAAACCTTTAGAGAATCTTCAAATATTTTGTTTTTTTGATGCCCACAAAATAATGAAATCCCTTTTTTTGTTATTCAGATTGAATTAAATAATTGTGTGAACGGAAGCATATACGCTGCTGACTTTGCCTCCTGTCAATTATGCAATCAATCTATAGCCTACACATGCGACAAGGTGTTCCTCTTCCTCAAGTCAATGAAGTTGACTTGACAAGTGTCACACAGCTGAACTCTGAGGGAAACTGATGACTTTTGGATTATATGATTTACAAAACAAATGAGCATTCAAACATCTGACATGATATGGCTATTTTAAGGGTTGGTGAAAAATGATATTGTTTGATACTTGTGTTCTATTAATATGAGAAGTGCATGAAAAAGTAGATATTGTTGTAGTTGTTGTTGTGGCAGCTTTGCTGTTAACAGTGGGCTGACAGGCGGAATGGCACCTTGACTGCCTTGGAGAGACCGGTGGATATTCATTTCTTATTGTTACCTATAATTTACAGGTGCTATGCCAACACTTGTCAGTAGAGCCAAAGCTCTGTAATAAATAATCATAATCAACAATATCATAATCATAATAATCTCTTCAATAAATATTGTTACCTCATTCTGTTCTGTATAGGTCTACCTTAGACTGACAGATGGAACAAACAGTTTTAAAGGAGGGAGGATTGTATTGGGAGCACTGGGGTATCAGGTGTGACTGTGTGGGAAATAGTTTACATGGGTCATAGGTCAGGAGGGCCCCTTAGCAGAATTTTGCTGAGGGCCCCATGAGGTCAGGGCTGGCTCTGGATATTGCTGATCAGAAGGTGGAAGTTGAGGAGAAAAGGATTCTGCTGCCACCACAAGATGAACAAACTAGACTGAGAATAGGTTTTTGGATGTATGCTGTTTGGGTGCTGATGTCCGATTTACACCTCAGAAGCACTGGAAGCATAGTCAGTCATGCTTGATCCACTTTTGTGGAAGCCAGGTGAAGAACAAAGAATAAAGAAATATTAACTTTTCGGGAACGATAATGCGGTTCCCGGAACGTAACCCGATGTGGAATTATGTTTGCATATAATAAGAATAAACTAGAGGTTAGACCATCAACCAATGCATCGGCTACTTTATACCCTACTTTATGGGAAGAAGCTGTTTAATAGAGGGTGCCGTAGCTAAACGTCACCGTACAGACGTTCTGCCGGGGGATTTAATATGTGAGCCCTCCAGGCACTGACTCCGTAGTAAGAGTTTAACGACGGAATCCTTCCGGTTTTAGTGAAACCACCAGAAAACGCCAACACAAACCCCGGGAGACCGGTCACACGCGGTTGTTGCAATCACTCGCAAGCTCCACTCCACTGGATGAATTGAGCAGCAATATTCACTAATGTGCAAAGACGGTTGGGTATTTTGACAGAGAGCTGGTCATAGCCAAGAATTACGGATTCCACAGGAAACGTAATCTGCTTACCTCCTCCAGAGCTTCTCTGTTTACAATGCACCGTCTCCAATGGAAGCTTCAAGCTGCGTGAGGAACAGAGAAGGACTGCTGATCGGACGATATCTGCAAGCAAACTAATAACTATTATAATACTTTCTTCTTTAAAACCAGAGCAATAAATCCCTAGCTATCCTGACCCTCCACCAATCACCGTGCGTGAGTCTGCTGTCACTTTGATTCAGACCAATAGGCAGATTACCCTAATCCTTGACGTTGTTGTTTTTTTAACCAATCAGGGTTTTGCTCTCTGTCCATGGTGCTGAACCTGGCGCACCGGTGGAGGTAAAGTGTGGCGTTTAACTGCACACTAACAGACTCACCGCTGACCATTTCCCCCAACATGTAAGATAAGCACCTTGCTTTTAGAGTTAATCTGAAGTGATGTCACACTTCTGATCACATAGTTGTGTTGTTTTGTAGTTTATATTATTCTTTCAGATGTCAAGTGAGTGAGCAACGTAGCCTACGTACTTTGCAATAGCAAAAAAAAAAGTATACAATATATGTATAATATAATATATATTACATCAGCAGCAGTATGAGATATATAGATAACCCTGGTTGAATTAAATATTAGGCTGGTAATTCCCTTTGCATTGTGCAAATTCAGCTATACCACACCCTACTTGGTACAAGGGCAGTGAGTCAAATCAGTAGCCGAGTCATTGGCTTAAATCTGAATACAAGACTTGATTTTGTTGCTGACCTAAATACTAAATTGACTGCAGCTCTCCAGCTGGGGATGCTGTTTCACTGCAGTGACAGACTCTGGGAAACTTGGTTGAGGCCGCAGGAAACAATCTCTTGGCAGTAAACACACTTGTTGGCATAGTTTTGCTTGGCTAACTAAGAAGTACTATTTTCAACAACAGAGTCACATAGTTCAGTAAGGTGCTAGAGCACATGAGTACAATTCCAGTGGAGAACAGCAGGTCTCAAAGCTGAAAAACTTAGTAACTAGTTTGATAAGCATTCATCCAACCAGTGATGGGGGAGGTACTCGGGTAATTTACTTATAGAAAAATATAGCAATACCACTGTGAAGAAATACTTAGTAAGTGCTGCATTAAAAATCTATGTCACTTATGAAAAAATATTGGCATCAAAACATACTTTAAGTACTTCATATACTGCTGTGGAGCTTAATCTATGACAATATATCACTTAATTTTTGCTATTTGCTATTATTTTGTATTGGCAATCGGTAAAGTAACTAGTGACTAAAACTATCAAATAAATAACGTGGAGTAAAAAGTACAATATTTGTCTCTGAAATGTAGTGGAGTGGGAGAAATATATAATGGAAATATTCAACATAAGTACAATTACCTCAGAATTGTACTTAAATACTGTACTTGAGTACATGTACGTTCCACCACTGCATACAACTAAACAGAAACCAAAATATAGTTACTAAATAAATTCCCAGTGCCTGTACACTATGGCAATAATACCCAATTTATCAATCAACAATTGTAATTTAGCCAGTTGCTTATTCTTCATGGGTCCACTGTAATTGATGAGGGCATTGAAGGATTTCTGCAGGGTCATTTTTTTGGGCTTTTATATCAATCAAGACACAACATACTCAACTCACGATTAGACCTTGAACACATGGGTGCTGGATCCTTAATGTAAATGATAAAAAAGGAAGGACAAGGACAGCACTCCAATTGCCAGAATACGCGCTGAAGAAGGGTGTGCTGCCTGAAATGTATGTACGTGTGGTATTATTAAAAAGTTAAATTGGATTGCTGTCCTAGTCTTTTCTTTAATCACTTCTATATTGCCACGATAACACATTCACAGTATAAAGTGAGCCATGTGAATTCATTTAGAGAGAATAAGTAAAGGTCCATTGGTTTTCAATCACTTTTAATCGAATGGGATGAGCACATGATGCAGCAATCTGACAATATTAGATATGTAGATCATAATAAATAATAATAAAAAAATCATTATACTGTACCTCCACCTGACCTTGCTGATATATATCTGATGATTTGTTTTCCTTAAATACTATGCATGGACTTGAAATAGAGGATTCACTTTATGCACAGGAAGCCCACGGTACTTTTGTGATTTCTGAATGCTTTGCTCCACTAAAGATTAAGAATGTTATTTAAATGGTAATGCGCTGACTCAAACAATTAATCAAATTGCTATAATGTGTAAATAATATACCATATCGTCAATTTAAATCTTCACTAACTCTCACAAACTTTCTCAAAGTCGTATCAAAACTCAGAGAGCGTTTATGTTCTAGTAAAACTGAAGAGTAGTAGTCTAATATGATATAATGAGGATAATAAACATTTTAATCATATTATTAATATTTCATAGTACTGTTATTACCAAGTGCTGTTATAAACATTTATTAAAAATTTGAATTTAATATTCTCACATTGAAGAATCGCCTTTTCTTTATTCAAAATGCAAAATATATAACCAAGATATAGCAGAAAGGTACATTTTTACAAGCGTGTGTATTCTAAGATTTTATTGTGAAAGAAGTAGTAAGTTGATAAGACATTGATATTTAATTAAAACAGTAATTCACACAAAAGCAAGCAGGAGACGCATTGTAGTGTTCTACATTTTTCAAAATAATCACCAAGATTACAAATTACTCCATCCAGGGTGGGATCAGTTATACTTCTTTAGAAATGAGCTTGATTGCGAAGAGTACATTTGTTGCAGACTTTATTGTTATAATGAGTGAAACTTGTTTATTTGTGAGATATACACCTTTTCATCAGGTTCATTGATTTTCATGCAGATCATCTAATCAATGCCGTCTCTTCAATTCACATCCATTAGTGAATTCAGCAGTGCAATGTAGGTGCTTAAGTAAGTCTAATACTTGTCCTTTTAACAATAAACTCAAACTCTGCATGTACTGAAGAGTTAGTTTCATGTGATTTTCTTTTTTTTTTTAAATACCATCCATCAAATCAAGGCCAATGGGTTTGGAAAGCTAGTAAAAATGACCCTTACCTCACATTGTCACTCCAGCTAGTCTCATTTTCTCTCTCCTCTCTCCAATTATATTTACATTACATTTGACAGGTTGTTTTTAGGCCACTATGACATATGCCTAAAATAGAAACCTATGGAAGATTTGGCTCTAAGTGGTGTCTCTTTCTTCCCTCTTGTCTGTCTTTCTCACTCCGTCTCCCATTCTGCTTGTCTTCTCTCTACACCAAACAAGACGACTATTGACAGGACCATTGAGATGAGCTCCTTGCTATTTTCAGAATCTACTTTTTATGCTAATTAGGACAAGAGTTGCTTCTTTCAGAGAGTAATGGTCCCACTCTGCGTTTACAGAGCCCGGCGTCTCCCTCCCACTTCAGCTTCAGCTCACCAGCAGTGATTCACTCTGCATATATTAGAATGGGAAAGTCAGATTTCCCCCATGAGCTTTCCAAACACACCATTGATGCAACACAATGAGTCTTTTCTGGATCCTCTTTGCTGCCTACTTTGTCATCTTCCTGGATGGCATGTAGACAGAAGGCAGGATATTAAGTATCGCGTAAGACAGTGAGAGAATGAGAGGGGTAGGAGGGGAAAAAAAGACGACAGAGAGAAGAAAAGAGGAAATGAAGGGTGAGAGATGGGCCTGACATATTAAAATTCTTACTGTGCTTCCTCTCTTGTACCACAAATAACCCATACATGACTAAGTACAGTGTTTATTATTTGTTAATGATCTATGTTCATCATCCAGTCAGATAATATCCTTTAAAAGTGTTCAAGGATATTCTGTTTGTGCTTATAAAACTTTGTCACATTTTGTCAGTTAAATCTAGAGTACAACACCACACACACACACACACACACACACACACACACACACACACACACACACACGTTAGTCCACTTGTTTTGCATTTGAAACATGAATACATGTATTTATCTTCATCAGTGGTTGTGTAAATGCACTTTAAATTAGATAAAAATAAGTGTCTGTTGTTCGAGACTCAATATCCCTGCTTGATGCTCTCAATCGTGGCCCAGCACCAGTGCACCCTACAGTGTCATAGTTCCCCAAAAGAAAACCACATTTGCCAAATCGCCTTCTAAGCCTATGTGCCACCGTTGTCTTGGTTTCTATGGAGACGCTTTCCTCCAGACCAAGCATGTGGAGGGCACCCCTCCAGTGGAAGGAGGTGGAATAACATTGTGGCAAGGCAATCGTACACCAACCTCATTTACATACCCAAACATGAACCATGGACCATAGCATACAGTGTTTGTTCACTAAACATTTCACATAAGTGACTAAATCCAGCTTGACATGGAGCCCAGATATATGATTACTATCATGTTTTATCAACAGAAAGGTTTAGATCATTCTCAAATTGTGTGAGTAAAGAGCAGCTGAAGAAAACAAATGACAGAAAGTTGCAATAAAATACTATTCTTTTCTCAGAATTTAGAAAGCATCTTTCCTTGTGCGCTGGGATTGCTCAGCATTCAGGTCACCGTTGCTCCCTTTGTACCGTTGACATGAATGATGGAGGCATGCTTGTATCTGGACCTTCTGTGGTCACTCCTCAGCACCTCCAGCTGAGGGCACTGTTTTATCTGTCGGTATCTCTTTACCTATTCAGGAGACGCTCTGCTGTCAGATGGAGCTCTGTGTCTCTGACCTTGGGGAAGATGAAAGACAGCCACAATGGAGGCAACTGTACTCAGCATTCAAATTCACAGACCTAACAGAGTCAAGACTGTGACCGAGAGAAGGACACAAAGAAAGAGTGGGACAGGCAAGGCAACAAATGACTTCTTTTGACTTTGTTTCAAATCAAATAAAGCTTAAAAAAAAAGAATATAACAGAAAACAGGTACGTTTTCTTACTCCTTGTAATACTTATGAAATGGTTCACTGATTGATAGTCCATAATGGAACCCAAGAAACAGAACTACAGCTAATCAGCATTTACATATTTCACTGTGGCCGTAATTATAGTGGTGACTGACTGCCACACAGCCACAATGATTTATATACAACCCAGCGCTGAATCAAACAATGGGATCCCACGCTGTAAGGATGGCAATAATGGAAGTGAGTGTTTTAATCAGTGAAACACTCCTTTCCAACTCTTTAATATGGCAAAAAACAAACATAAATCATTAATACATTTCTAATAAAAGCTAAATACTGAAATACTCATTTTAAATCACTTATTTAACACATATATGGTATATGTATTGTTTTGGCATATGGACAGTTGAAATCCCTGCACTACTGTGGCTAATGAACCTCATAAAGAAATCATCCACATACATTTGTCTAAGCTTTTCCTCACCATCAAATACACTCATCTAACCTAATAGTGCTTACATTTATGCTTCATGTCTTACTGCAATGGTTGTAATGTATCACGAAGCAAATGTGTTATTTTAGAATGGTGGTAATGACCAATAATTGCGTTATCATCATTAGACAGCCCACCTAATGTGCTATTAGCTTGAAAAATACAGAATAGATTTGAACTATTCATTTTATTTTGTTAATTGTGTTTGGTTTTGCTTGCTCTGCACTCATATACGTACATTCAATGCAAAACAAAACAAAATGATTTTGTGTCTGTTCAAAGTGAGTTTTTGCAACCAGTACTCATTTTTAATAGAACAATTTGGGACTTACACAAGCTCAAGCTGGTACAGATCACACTGACAAAATGTACCCGCCAGAACCAGAAATGCCATAACTATTACAACAACTTTAGGGCGAAAGTCTCCTCCGGAGCAGCAACATCATGCAGGCTTGCAAAGCATCAAAGTGGGGATAATTACAGGGTGCACTGTCTCACAGTCCCCACAGAGTCGGTACCAGGCTGTAGGTGGATACTGCAGGGGCTGGACAAGCTGATAGAGTATAGGCCCGGATGAGTTTGAAACCAGCCAAGTCTAGATCATTGTTGCTGAAGAGAGGAAAGATTGACAAAACGTTCCGTTTGAAGCATTGAAGCATTACCGCACACCATCACAGAAAAGCTGGTAAAGAGCTTTAGCGAGGTGTGTGACAGCCCCTGAGGGATGCATCGTTCATCTTATCCACCTGTATTGATTTGGAGCATTGGCTGAGATCAATGGACCAGCACGCCATTCAGGCCCAGAATCTTGTGGCCGCTCATGGTGTGCCAGTCTCGCCAGTTGAGGCCCTAAAGAGGGAAATATGTTCTCAAATCAGTAGCAAGCTGGTGGGAGTTGTGGCTCAAGGCAGATTGGGGCTGGAATCTTTTCAACCTTTCTAGATCGCCACTCCCACAGAGACGGAGAAGCACTGCCTGCTTCAGGCCGAGGTGAGAGCAGCAATAGAAGAGGAGAGGTCAGACAACATGGTAGCAATAGGGCAGCAGGGTGCCTGGTGGGACCACACGCTGGAGAGGTAGGCTGAGCTGTGCAAAGCTGTACCCCACCGCATCAAGTTTTTTAGAGCTTGAACTAAAGAACTTCAGGGAACTTTAGAGCATATGCTGAGTTGCCGCCGCAAGGGCACTGAGAGGGGGCCTATACTGTTGGTGCCATGATCAAGTCCTGAAGGTACAGTAACTACAGAAACCATCAGCATCAGAGCTGAAGGAAACAAGCGGTCCCGCCTCTCAAGACAGGCCTTCCCCAGGACTGGGGCGCAGCCATGGGCCCCTCAGTTTGGACATCTGCGGGAATTTGCAGAAGCAGGTCAAGTTAACTCATTCTCATGTCCGAATCCTCCAGGCAAGTTATCATGTTGGAGCTAACAGTACCCTGGAAACATCGCTAGGACGGGCCTTTGAGATGGCCGACTAAATAAGAGTGGCTGGTTGGTAAATGCAAGCAAGGTGGCTGGAGGACAAGGTGCTTCCAGGCTGAAGTTGAACGCAGTGCAATCCTTGGCCAGAGCCTACAGCACAGAAGCATGTCAAGTCAAGTGAGTTTTATTAATATAGCCCGATATCACAAATTTAACTCAAGAGGCTTTACAATCTGTACAGTATACAACACCCTCTAAGACACCGGAAGGGCAACTGAGGAGGAATCCCTCTCCCAAGATAGAGAGACAGACTCGCAATCAGTGTTGTGAGTACAGCCATCCGCGACACCACAGATGTGGCAGAGAGAGCATCAAAATGACTGTGGCTCAAGAGAGTGGAACCATGGGGCAAGTAGCTAGATAACCATCTGGACACAAGCTGAGGTCTGATCAGCCTCAGCAAGGTTGCCCGGAGGCCTTGTATGATGGTAAAAAGACCTGTAACACCCGATGATGGCAGATTGTATTTCTTCAGTTGATTCAAGAATATTCTTGATACCGATTGCACTGGATACGTGAAGTGTGTTTAATTTCATCCCATGCATTTATTTTAAGAAAGGCACTTTCTCTCACGGTAAATACAACAGTTACTAAGGTGGATATTTTTTGGAGCGTCGCTGCTCAGCTCCTCGCCAACCAATTCAAATATTGTCTTCAGTAGAAAAATTTAATTTGCTTTCAAAGAAAAACAGTAACACCAACGTACTGTTTACTGCCAGGAGAAGAACACTAAAACCTCTTGTTGTTTGACTCAAGCCAGACAAGTTTACTATCCTAATTGGTCTCAGTGGGCAGATCATCAAATGTGTAAATAATTTTCTCCACACTTGGCCTGTTCTATCTTTGGCTATCCCGGCTTTCCTTCTTTGACTGTGAAAAGCAAGCTGTTCCTGTTGGAATGATATCCTGTAATTCCTAGAGCACATTGTTTTTTTTTATCTTGAACAAAACTGCTTTAAATACAGTAATAAGAGACCAATGTTGAATCACAGAGCCACCAATCTTATAATACATACAGTATAGACAGAGTGCATGGCCAGAGATGTATGTCGGGGGTAACAAATTGCAGATGGGGATTCGACTGTTGCTGCGGCATGTTCCGTGGGGTTGTGGTTTAAGGGAATCAGGTTACTCATAATTTAGAACATAACTCGGAGCAGGTCGTACCCTCCACCAGCAATTTAACTTCTGTTTGTCTGGACTGCGACATAAACTTAGTTTCACATTGTATTATCATGTCCTGCATTGTTATACTGCTATTATTTGTTGACACTTTGTACAGTAACTATACTGTAGAGCAGCACACACACACATACACACACACACACACAGAGTGTGATGGATGAGATGGATAGAAACTCCAGTAAATAGTGTCAACATTTCATAACAAAAATTAACTAAAGCTATTTATTATAGATTGTTTTTGCATTCAGATCATAGCACTTCTGGACAGTGATTTGCGAGCAGCTGGTAGTTTGTGTTCATTATTTTACGGGAGCTGGGGAGGAAAAAAAGGATCAGCAGGGAAATTACAACTTGACCACAATCACAGAGGACACAGCAATGCTATTAGTTTTCCAATGCAATCACATAATCCGATGGCCCAGACATTTGCTTTAATCAGACACATGGGAAATACATCCATCCCATTTCATTTCATCAGCTCAAATCAATCTCATATCAGCATTAAATGAAAAATGCTGAGACGAGAAATCTGGGCAGACAAGATATTATTACAAAAGGGAACTCTTTCATTACTGCCTTTTATGATTGCCTGTCTTTCTTCTTCATGGTGTAGGCAATATATAATGCATTCTACTCCTACAGGTCGTAAATCCATTTGGGGAAAAAAACAAAAAAAAGGAGGCTGTATTTAAAATCACAGATTTTTTTACTGAAATTTGAATGGTGCAACATGACTCCGGCTTTTGTGTCATCCCAAAAAGTAATTCATAAGTAGATGTCACTTTGAAACTTAAAAGAACAATGCTTTGTTCATTACAGTGTTACAAGTAGCAGCTCTCATATACTTATATCATATCTGACTGGTTAAAGCTTGTGGTTTTCTCTCCGGCTCTATCTTTGTATGCTGGTGAATGTGGGGATGCTGCTGGTATCAGTGATGCTGAGAGTGCTGCACGAGGCGAGTCTTTGTCTGCTCTGAGAAGGCTGGGCTCCAGCTGGCTCCCGCCATGTGCAAAAGTCAGTGGGTCCCTCAGCACTCAGTGCAGGCTGCGAGCTGGTTGGTTGATTGATTGGGATGCCCCCCCCCCCCCCGTTTCCCACCTCCTCCTCCTCCTTTTGCCTGTTCTTGCTCAGGGAGCACATGTGCCTCTATACTCCCTTTTTTTTTTTACCCAGACCTGCTTTATTACACACAAGCTTCATACAGTCATGCAACGCATGTGCATGTGTATAAACAAAGGTGCATCCCCTCTCTCTCTCTCTATCTCTTTCTCTCTCTCTCACACACACACACTCACACATTTGAGAGAACTACAAACACACTATGATATCGTGACTAAATCATATGAACGAGTGTCGATTTTGCATGATGAGAAGGTTTTCACTGCGTATCTGGATGCGGTGAGTGCTCATTAAAACGACCAGTGTCTGCAACACTGGGTTCATACAGGGCAACACATTTGCAGTCATTACAGATAACTGCTTCGCCAGACCGTTCTCCACACTTCGCTTTGCTCTCTCGGAGAGATCCCGAACGAATTGATCATTCCAGACAGAGAGAGAGGGCGCCTGGGGTAAAATATATTTTTTGACAGATCTGGTATTGCAAGTGTTCCTACAGACGCATTCGCTTCATATGAATTGCCCAAGTCTTAGTGGAGAGCATGGAGTTGAACAAAAAGAAGGCAGAAGGGGTGTGTTAGAATCGCCGACAGCTTTTCAGGACTCCGGTGACGACCAGCCAGCCAGCCAGTGTCTGGTGAACGTGCGTGAGCGCGTATGTGCGCGCGCACCCGTGCGTGTGTGTGTGTGTCCGTATGTGTGTGTGGGTGGACCAGCAGCTAACACACACTTAACATTCGTTCGCAACATGGCGTTGAAGCGCCGAGAGACACGACGGCTGTCCCCCGACTAATGCAAGCTTATTTGGAAAGCCAGGGGACGGTTTACCGAGGAGACCTAAACATTCACAGAGAGTCCTTTACGCACCGGCGGAGAGACAATAGCGGATTCCAACATATGCATGTCGCTAGAACGGTATAGCTGGTTGTAGCCTATAAACGTACGCTGCTACCCCACTGGTGGAAATCAAACGCTGTACATGGCGGTGGAGAGTACAATTTGGCTGTTCTGTCTTCTTTCGCTGTTCTGTGGTCCATCCAAGCAAGGTAAAGCGCTCACTTTAATAATCTGCATGTTTTTTTCCCAGTGGAGTGCATGTGCGAGGCAGCGGGCCACTCATATTACACTGAAGTGCAGTTACTCAGAACACAAGTGGGCTGTGATAAAAGATAGGAGAGAGCCACTGGGTGAGTGCAATATCCCCTCCGTGTTCTGTGTTCACCTCGTGTGTCCTCTCCGGTTCGCATTGAGGTAGGGTTGTATGTGCCATCACTTCACGGGTGTCTCTGTCGGGACTCTTTTTGGCGTTAGGAAGTTGCAGCACTTCTGCCCGATGAGCAGCCCGGACTGGAGTTTCCGACCAAACATGGGATGGGGCTCATTATGAAGACATGTGGGCTCGGCCTTGGTGTTTAATAAGAGTGGAAGTAGCGCCCTGGAAGTAGCCCGGTCTTAAATGTGTCGATTGCGTTGCCAATAAAGACATCTGAAGTTTTTGTTTTCCCTCTCACGGTTTTAATAACCGAGAACAACTGGGTGCATGGGACGTCTGGTCTTTAGCCACTGGCTCAGAAAGTTGAGTGAGAGGATTTCGTGGAAAGAGTAATACTGTCATCAAAAGGACGTCGATCTTGACACACTTGAAGCACAATGTGTCTGAGAGCTGATGCTGAAAGATGCACAGCAGCACTTCTTATTTCCCAGACATTGCTGTGGCTCCTGAGAGTGGAAGCGTGCTGCTAGAGAGGGAAGTCTGCCTACACAGGCGACGGCTAGTGGTTGAAAGACCGACCACAGGATTTACATGACAAAGACCTGTGTAGAATATCAGTGGAGGGCTTTATACAGTCCAATGCTGTCCAGGAAATAAGATATAACATAGAAGTAGTGAACCTGCCATGCATTTCTTTTCTTAAAAACTTTTTTTTCATTGAGAACCCGCATCGACATACACATGTTTTGACCCATGTTATGACATCTTTCATTGCTGTATGAAATGAGTCTACCGAAACAAGAATGAAGCAAAACAGTGTGTATCACCCACATTATCTTTGTAGATAAACCAGTTGTCATCCTACTGTGTATGAAAACCTGGAGAAAACTTATTCTGCTTTTAAGGTTTTAACAATTTGACTTTCATTTAGGTAGAATGTTCATAACTGCATACAGTTTGAAGAACTAAACATTAATACGTTGGTATTTATCTGTTAGGAGCAGAGGCATGTTGGACTGTGTGTTTATGTGTGGTTGAGAGAGAGAGAGATGGTGCAACAGAACTCTGAGGTTTATCTTTGGACTAAGATCTAAGATGGCATTCATCTTCAGACTGGGCACATGGTCGCATTACAGCTACAACAGAAAATGAATCGACCATTTTTGATAAACTATTAACTGCTTAACGTTCTCTGGCTCCAGCTTCTCAGATGTGAGAATGTACTGCTTTTATTTGTCTTCTATTATAGTGGAACTTATTGTTTTTGGATTGATCCATTAATCCATTTTCCACCGCTTATCCGGGGTCGGGTCGCGGTGGCAGCAGGTCAAGCAGGCCGACCCAGACCTCCCTCTCACCGGCAACATGTTCCAGCTCATTCTGTGGGATCCCGAGGCGTTCCCAGGCCAGCTGGGAGATGTAATCTCTCCAGCGTGTTCTGGGTCTTCCCCGGGGTCTCTTCCCAGTTGGACGTGCCTGGAAAACCTCCAGTGGGAGGCGTCCAGGAGGCATCCTAATTAGATGCCCGAACCACCTCAGCTGACTCCTTTCGACGCGAAGGAGTAGCGGCTCTACTCCAAGCTCCCTCCTGATGACCGAGCTCCTTACCCTATCTCTAAGGCTGAGCCCGGCCACCCTACGGAGGAAACTCATTTCGGCCGCTTGTAGCCGCGACCTTGTCCTTTCGGTCATGACCCAGAGTTCGTGACCATAGGTGAGGGTAGGAACGTAGACCGAGTGGTAAATTGAGAGCTTTGCCTTCCGGCTCAGCTCCCTCTTCACCAAGACGGTCCGGTGCAGCGCCTGCTTTACTGCTGCAGCTGCACCGATCCGTCTGTCGATCTCCCGCTCCATCTTACCCTCACTCGTGAACAAGACCCCGAGATACTTGAACTCCTTCGCTTGAGGTAGGCACTCCGTCCCCACCTGGAGGGAGCAATCCACCGGTTTCCGGCAGAGAACCATGGCCTCAGATTTGGAGGTGCTAACTCTCATCCCCACCGCTTCACACTCGGCTGCAAACCGCCCCAGTGAATGCTGGAGGTCATGATCCGAAGAGGCTAACAGGACCACATCATCTGCAAATAGCAGAGAAGCGATCCCGAGACCCCCGAGACTGACGTTCTCCGCCCCCAGGCTGCGCCTAGATATCCTGTCCATGAAAATCACGAACAGGACCGGTGACAAAGGGCAGCCCTGGCGGAGGCCAACACCCACCGGGAACGTGTCTGACTTATTGCCGAGAATGCGGACACAGCTACTGCAGTCGTACAGAGACCGGATCGCCCGTTGTAGCGGGTCCGGCACCCCATACTCCCGCAGCACCCCCCACAAGACCCCCCGAGGGACCCGGTCGAAAGCCTTCTCCAAGTCCACAAAGCACATGTAGACTGGTTGGGCAAACTCCCAGAACCCCTCCAGTAGTCTTGCGAGGGTAAAGAGCTGGTCCACTGTTCCACGGCCGGGACGGAATCCGCACTGCTCCTCTTGAATCTGAGGTTCGACAAGCGGTCGGAGCCTCCTTTCCAGCACCCTGGCATAAGCCTTCCCCGGGAGGCTGAGTAGTGTGATACCCCGGTAATTCGAGCACACTCTCCGGTCCCCCTTTTTGAAGATGGGAACCACCACCCCGGTCTGCCATTCCATGGGCACTGATCCCGACCCCCATGCGACATTGAAGAGGCGTGTCATCCAGGACAGCCCAACCATGTCCAGCGCCTTCAGCATCTCAGGGCGGATCTCATCCACCCCCGGCGCCTTGCCACCAAGGAGCTTTTTGACTACCTCAGCGACCTCTGCCAGGGATATGAGTGAGCCTCCTCCTGGGTCCTCAGGCGCTGCCTCCTCTGCAGAGGACATGTTGGTCGGGTTTAGGAGTTCCTCAAAGTGCTCTTTCCACCACCCGACGTTGTCCCCTGTCTGGGTCAGCAGTCCCCCTGCTGAGAACAGCCTGGGGTAAGCCCTGCTTTCCCTTCCTGAGCCGTCGGATGGTTTGCCAGAACCTCCTTGAGGCCAACCGAAAGTCCTTCTCCATGGCCTCCCCGAACTCCTCCCATGCCCGAGTTTTAGCATTCGCGACCACCGCAACTGCAGCCCTTCTGGCCTGCCGGTACCTGTCGGCTGCTTCAGGAGACCCCTGGGCCAACCAAGCCTTGAAGGTCTCCTTCTTCAGCTTGACGGCTTCCCTCACCTCCGGTGTCCACCACCGGGTTCTCGGGTTGCCGCCACGACAGGCACCGATGACCTTCCGGCCACAGCTCCTAGCGGCCGCGTCCACAATAGAGGCTTTGAACATGGTCCACTCGGATTCTGTGTCCCCAACCTCCCTCGGGATGTGTGAGAAGTTCTTCCGGAGGTGGGAGTTAAAGACCTCCCGGACAGGGTCCTCCGCCAGACGTTCCCAGTTCACCCTCACTACACGTTTGGGTTTGCCGGGTCTTTCCGACCGGTTCCCCTGCCATCTGATCCAACTCACCACCAGGTGGTGATCAGTTGACAGCTCTGCTCCTCTCTTCACCCGAGTGTCCAAGACATACGGCCACAGATCAAATGATACGATTACAAAGTCGATCATTGATCTCCGGCCTAAGGTGTTCTGGTACCAGGTACACTTATGAGCCACCTTATGTTCGAACATAGTGTTCGTTATGGCCAAACCATGGCAAGCACAGAAGTCCAATAACGAAACACCATTCGGGTTCAGATCGGGCAAGCCGTTCCTCCCAATCACCCCCCGCCAGGTTTCTCCGTCATCGCCCACGTGAGCGTTGAAGTCCCCCAGGACAACTATGGAGTCGGTAGGCGGCGCCCTTTCCAGGACCCCTCCCACCGACTCCAAGAAGGCCGGATACTCTGAACTGCTGTTTGGTGCATAAGCACAAACCACAGTCAGAGCCTTGCTCCCCGCAACCCGTAGGCGCATGGAGGCGACCCTCTCGCTCTCCGGGGAGAACTCCAACACAGCAGCGCTCAGCCGGGGGCTCGTGAGTATCCCCACTCCCGCCCGGCGCCTCTCACCCTGGGCAACTCCGGAAAAGGACAAAGTCCAACCCCTCTCCAGGAGCTTGGTTCCAGAGCCAACGCTGTGTGTGGAGGTGAGTCCAACTATTTCTAGCTGGTATCGCTCCACCTCCTGCACCAGCTCCGGCTCTTTCCCCGCTAGCGAGGTGACGTTCCACGTCCCTAGAGCTAGTCTATGCCGCCGGCGATCGGCATGCCCGGGCCCGGGCATGTCTTTGGATTGATGGTCGCATTAAATAATGTAATCAAAGTCGCCACATTGGTTTCTGACATTCAATTTATATATTAATCAAGAAAATAATTGGCAGAAAATTATTGTTAGTTGCAGCCCCACTTTGAATTGCCACCCAATTGTTGTGGAGCATGGGCCCCAAAATACAGTGAACTAAAATCAATGTATCTTCTTTATTCTTCTGAGACCAGATCACATTGGACTACCTTTGACTATACCTGTGCCAAATACCTGTGATGTCTACAATTTTTTATGGAATACTTTATAGCTCATGCTAATATGACACGACGCTTTGTCCAGATTTAAAGCACATCGTTTTGGCTGCTGTATTTGTTGTCATGGTTTGGTTGTGTAGCAAATGGGTTACAATCGTGCGTCCCTGTGATGCATCATGCTGATACATTTCCCTTGAATCCTTAAAGATGTACATTGTACTGTAATGTTGTTTGTGGGCGTTGCCTCTCTTCTTGTAACACATAAACACGCAGAGAGAAGAGCGAACTTTGCTTACCATAGCACTTTGTCTCACTCATTAGCCAGTGGAGCTGTGTTTAGTGCAACACATTCTGTGTTGGTTTAGT